CTAGTGAAGACATTACTGAGTCTACTGAGGGCACTTTCCCGAATTTTGAGCCGCAAAATGAAAACGGAAGAAGTGGTCGAATGGTGAGATCCGAGCCAAGCGCGATGCGAAGAGTTGTGATCAAGGTCGCTTGGACCACAAACGCAGGATACATCCTGCACAGAAGCCCTGTAAACATCTCCTTTGAATGTTTTGGTGATGTTGATTGAACATATGTCCACTTGAATCTTGGATAACAAGGACAATGACTATGTCGCATAGTGGAATGATGAACCTTTATCTCTCGTCAAGATTTATGTCCGCTCACCATATAAGACTTTCTCTTGCGAGAACGAGTGTGCGGCGATGAAAAGTGGGGACGATTAAAGGACTCAAGTGAGGCGTTAAAATATTGAACATCGAGGCAGCCAGAGACACGCACTGCAGAACTACTTTCACTCGAAAGTGTAGGACTTTGAAGCGAAACTGGCGATGTCAGCAAGGGTGAGGCAGGAGATTGTGTGCTCTTTGCTTTCAGGCTGTCAATTATCGCAAGGATGGATTGCCAACGGTCGATGGAGACATGGATGTTCGGAACGCGCAAAGTAACCTCGACACTCCCCGCTTCTATCTTCCCGTCTCTTGGACTGAATCGAGCAGCCCCACGGAGAATGACCGTCTCAGACAGTTTTATAATTGGTTCGTCGCCCGGATGATCTGAAAACGAAACATCAATATCGTTCATTGATCCAACCATGAACGCTCACTGTGTATAGGGGTGTCACCAATAACCTTATTGACCATCAAATCGAACGTCAAAGAAGCCTTTGTTTGGCCCAGTGTGCTATCCCAGGCACGTCTCCACGTACGCTTGAAACCCATCGCAAGCCGAGACTTCCATGCTCCCATAGCTAATGCTGCAGCAGACGGTCTGTGGTCCCCTTCACCGTTGATTTGGTCGGAATGAGGAACTGGGACCTTAAGATAGCTGAAAGTAAGATGCGCATCTAAGTCTGCTCCTTCAATGACGAGTTGAGCATCTGGGATAGCTGTATGCACGATGACAGCCGATTCAAGTTCTAGGCGAAGGGCTTGAGTTAGAGTAGGGATGCGGTGAATCACCTGATTCAGAATAGACGTGACAGAAATGCGGATGATAGGGCGGATGATCGGGTCGAATACCCAATATACGGTTGACATGATGGACCATAAATGCAGAGCCAGTGGGGAGGGCGACAAGTCCACGAGAGTGATTCTACGCCTATGCTTAGTCCGAGCGGGCTGCTCGCGTGATAGCTGCTCGATCTCAATTCTGAGACCCTGGATCTTAAGTAGTATTCCCCTGGGCTTGCCCTCTCCAGACGAACGGTAGGAATACCCAATGCGTTCGACGTGCCACGTACGATTTCCCCGACGGAAGTATAGACCGCGAATGGAGCGAAGACTAATGCTCCGCACACGTAGATGATTGGAGAAACGCATGACGACGTAAGGAGCGATATACGCTCTTGCAACAAACAGGAACACGACCACTGCAGCGAGGGAAAACACAAGCGTGAACCATGACCATAAGCTAGTTGGGCCAAACTCGTAAAACCAAAGCACGAGACAAATCGTCCCAAAGACAGCACTAAGGCGATGCCGCAGAACTGTTCGAATCATTGACATGCTGTGTGGGTAGGGCGCTTATGATAGAGCAGAGAGCCGGGAGGGGCGGCCAGGAATGAAAGGTTGGAAGGAATGTCGGAAAGGAGAGGAAGAGTCAAGTGATTATATACTAGCAGAGCAATAACAGAACGTTGTCAACGCGTGAACCTCGAGCTGATGATGTAGTCCTGGTCGTCCAGCTGCAGATGCCTTTACCAAGTCGTAATTAATAATTACTCAAGCTTAAGTCAAGACCAGCGTGGCAATGAAATGGCGCACAGCCACAAGTATCGTTATATGCAACATGTCACTCAGGAATTCATGCAAACTGAGAGCGCTGATAGTACAGATTCATGAAGGCCTACTTGCATAAAGAAAGCAATGAAAAGAGTAATGGAAATGTTGCAGTATGGCATATCATATATCTGATGTCGTCAACCCACCCAGCTCCATGATCCTAGCGTCCTCTACAATTAGAACACCATCTGATGAGGGAACTGACCCTTCGACAGGCCAAAGGTGGCCTTAAGGTATTTTGCAAGATTCTCCTGCTTCTGCACGGCAGTAATGACAGCCTTGTCGACCTCCTTCTGGTCGGCGGACTTGGCTTCTGGGAAGGCCTCCTTTGCCTTCGGCTTGCCTTCCTCGAAGAACTCAGCTTCTGCAGAGCTTGACTTGGTTGCGGGCTTTGCAAAGTAAGCATCGTTGATCTTGGTATCGACCTGATACATGTACTAAGTTTGGCAATAATTCAGACTTGCTCTGACGCCATCCACGCACCTTGAATTCACCAAGATCAACCTTGGTAGACGTGGCAATAACATATGCTTGGTTCACCCGTCTGAGGGGAACGCCGTTGATCTTGTAAGGTCCAGTCACCAACAACAACCCACTATCAAGCTGCTTCAAGAAAACCACCCTCTTCCCTCTGAAACGACCGGCGAGTAAGATTAAGACGGTACCAGGGACGATTGTGGGACGAAGTTTGGCAGGCTTTGGCGACTTTCGACTCTTCTTTGGTTGACGCACATCTTCTGCAGGGTAGAATCGGGGTGCTTTGGAGGTGGGTACGAGACGCGTGCCGCTGTTTTTGTCACCGCCCACCGTCACTTCCTTGAAGGCGGGAGTTTCTGCGGGTGCGGGCTTGTCGGATTTTTTGAGACCCTTGTAAAGACCACGGCGTGAAGCAGCCTGTGAGCGCGAGAAGCGCCCAACGCCGGGTGCGAGTTGTCTGCTGCGGGCCATCTAGAACGATCTAAGTCAGTTACTGCCGAAGAGTTATCCACAAGGCAGGATAGCCATCCAACTCTGATCTCCACCAAAATCGACGATCAATGGGATAGATATGTCCCAAGACCTTCCACCATCCACCCTGAGGTCAGAAAATGCAAAGATTCGTGCTCACAATGTCAGTCTTGAGGATACTGTCTGTTGAGGCGTCCGTCTATCAATATTACGAGTACGGAGACGAGTGGTATCGGAGTTCACAGCGTGAGAATGAAATTCTAAATTCGTGATAATGTCTAACCTACAGGCATGCCCTTTACTCGAGTTCTACACAAGTCCGATACGTTTGAGCTTCAATTGTCTGACCTATAAGTACTTATGCCCTTCACAAGAAATCGTAGCGGCGGCGACTCATGAAAGAACTTCTACAATCAGACGACGAGATGACTAGTGTAATAGGGGGCAGAACTTAGCTCTGCTGCTTATGACTGGGAGAGAACATGAAAACCGACGTCCCTAACTTAGTAAGATGGTCCACATGCGCCCCCTCGCATCACTGGTCAACGAGTTGAGGGCGCGCATTGACCGGAAATTCCCGAAAGACGCTGACACAGACCAGCTGCGTCAAGTCTGCACACAGACTGGCCAAATATTCCTGGACTTTCTAAAATTGCTATGGTCACTCGAATGCGGCGACACTAGGAAAATTCATCTGGTGCTCGAATCCAGGGTCGTGACAATAACCTACCGAACCATCATATCAAGCGCTGTAAAATGCAACTGCCCTCTGCGCCAAGGCTTCAGCGCATCTGTTTGTTATGGAAAAGACACGCAACCCTGGTGCCGCTCAATCTACTTCTGGAAGTTCTACTGCCGCCGTCATTCCCGCAAAGCAAGCCTGGATGGATTTATTGACCAAGTCACCAACCCTTAAGAAAATAGCCTAGCAAATGCAAAGCTGCTCCGGTGTGTCGTGACATCCAACTTTGATCAATGTAATGTCCGTCCGTCGTATCCCGTTACGTGTTATCTTCCCAACAGCGAAGCCGTCCGTGTCCGACATGCGGACATAAACCGATTGAAGGAATGATAATGTCTTACTCTTCTCCTGGACGGATGGGAGGATCTGCCACAGATGAGCCTGTATGGTCCACTTGCAGTTGAGCTCTGTAGTTCTCGCATAACAGGACAGAGGGGCACTGCCGAAAGTAATTTCATGTTCTCTTGAATTCAATCTGTGTTATCAGATATATCTCCGCCAGTCTTGGATACCCCGCTAGGTCTCTTTTTGCGCGAGTTCTACCGTGGACCTGTAGGCACAACCAGTCTTGCCAAACCGGTTGGCAGAACTCCCGAGTTCTACCAGGTTCTGCCAACAACCTGATGAGTCGCTGAGCGAAAACGACATACAGGTGGCAATGGAAAGCTGTGCAAGAAGGGAAATAATTTCCCGGTCTGTTATTCGGCTTGAATATATTCAGGACAGACATTTTGAAACCCTCTCTACTTCGTAGAGTTGGGAAACGCTATCCGATTCATACCATAATCTTCATCTTCATACCTCACTGACGATGTCTCCGGATATACCTGAAGAAGGTCGGTTTTCTTTCCGCATTCCATCGCGCACTCTGACTGGTGTCAAAGATTCTAGATCAATCGTTTGGTTTGACATCGACAATACACTATATTCTGCCAGTTCTAAGATTTCCTAAGCCATGGGTGACCCAGCGCATCCATGGTTCGTCAGCGTTTAAACTCCCTCAAATACTCTGAATGCTCAACATGGAAAAAGCAGCATATTTCGTCACTATGATGACAAAGCCTCCGAATTGCATCATGCATACTACACTCAGTACGGACTTGCACTTCGCGGTCTAACACGTCATCATGACATAGGTAGGACCTGAGCGCTGAGCTACGAGCATCAGCTGCTGAATAAACGTACGGCTCCAGATCCCATGGATTTTGATCGGAGATGTGCTGGAACACTCCCTCTCGATGATCTTATCAAACCAGACCCAAAACTACGCGGGTCCTTCACCTGCACATAGGAGGAAAGGGTGAGTGTGTTTCTTGCTTGCAATGTAATTCCCGACGCTAATAGTATGAAGTAGGAAGGGTTTTGTAGGCATCTGAAAAGCCAGGCACTTGTATCTTGATTTCACACATTAAGAATACCATTAATATAAAAAGTCCAGTATGGTCGGTATTTCAGAAAATTGACATCCTGAAACCAGTACCCTTTATATAGGGTCCTGGAATATGATGTTACAGCTGTCTCCAAAACTATGGTACTGGCCAAGTATAGTAGGGGTGGGCGTCATGCTGTGCTGCTGTACATTGATGATCGGTTTCTCTACCAATCTCCTATGAGGGAAGGAATATATATGTGGATCCGGGCAGATAACTTATTCCTGAGTACAAGGTCGATATTAAAGTTCAAAACAACATCACAGTCACGATTTGTGATGCTTCGTTCACCTCCAAAATCACACCGTCGTAACCATACAAGCCTGTAGAAGTTCCATCAGTCTGATAGGTACATCGAGAGCACTGACGACTGACGGGTTGACGAGTTAGGTAATGTGATGTTGTCATATTCATCTGTACGGTCTAGTAACATGGAGGGTAGCATCTCTCCAGGACTGAGAAAGCGCCTGATTGTCTCGAACTAAACTTATAGATCAGCGATGAATGAATGTAGCAAAACCAAGAACTGGCAACCTTGTCATAAAAGTGCTTGCGGGGAGGTGAATCTGGATCATGCCCAGATGAACACAGATAGGAAACATGAAAGTGAAGCAAGTTACCGTCTTCGTCATCTTCGGGTTTGCCCTCCAACTGCCAGGGACATCGTTTATATCGCTGAAAGAGCGGGGAGCCAGGCTATACGGGTTTGCAAAAAAGATCGCGAAGAGGCAATACGTGTCGTACCATATTCGAATGTATGATAATCTTTCTCACAACATGAGTCTGGCCGGATATTAAGAAGTCCACGCCGTGATGGAAGTAGTTATAGAAATCTAAATCACTAACACTGAGCGGCAATGTGTCTGAGGAGTTCAGATTCATTTACAGTCGGTGCTACCATCATCTTCAGATGCTTGTATGTTCGGTGAGTGAATGGTCATTCGTTCGTCCTCCTTGTGATGAACTCGAGAGGGAGGTCCGAGATCAATCGTCAGGTCTTGTGCTGTAGTTTCTCCGATGCGAACCTGGAGAAGCAAGGTAGAAGAGAAAAAACTAAAGTCCACCCCATCATGTATCTGATTTGATTAATACATTAGTTTGATTGCACAGGAAGTAGAAGTAGAAATAACCTTGATAACCGCACTGGAAATGTCACCGTGCATGATTGGGCACGGCAATACCTCGTCCAAGGCATCGCGCTCCTCTCCATCTACACTTTTTTGTCTGATGAAGATGCGCTTTACTTCCTGTGTTCGTTGCTCTAGGTGTGTAATGCCCCCTTTGAATCCTTCACTGACGCTGTCGTCATCGAAGCTGAACCATATGCCAGGGTACTTTAGCTCATCTCCCGGATATGTTGGACCAAAGGTACGGCTAACATGTACTCTAACCAGAGGTTCTGCAGATGAAGATATGACTGTATCTTTATAGCGAAGCATCACTGGTGGATGAGGCTCCCTGAGTTTCCTTACGCAAATAGTATGGAGGCGTTGATGGTACCCTGAAAACAAAAGGTCCAAATGAGGACGAAGGTGAAGAATGACTGGTGTCGTTGCAGAGTCCTCTGGATCAAACTTGACCTCAACCTGAGGGAATAGATGTTGAAGTCCGCGTAAGATGTCGATGACTGCCCAAAGGGAAGTACCTGATACAGATACAAACGACATGAGTCTCGTACTCATTCAGAGAGCCTTTGCGAACACACCTAACTCAAACATCCCGATCCCAGACCCAGGTCTGATGTCAAGGTCTAACGTCGCAAACATATTGAGGCTCGCCGCAGATACGCCTGAGTGGAGCACAAGACGGTTGCATACCTAACAGGGATCACTCTCCATCTACCACGTGACTATACCAAAAGCTGCTCAAGCGCGATGTTCGAGGCAATCACTTCCGTCATACTATTTTTTGATAAAGGCTACGGTTCTACTTGATAAATTTTATCACGACCGCACCTCACACAACTGTATTGTAGTATCTTGCATTTTGGACCACCAAGACTCCAGGCAGCTCGAGGAACCTAAGGCCGCCAATTAAAATTCGGTGTGAGTAGCAAGTCCTCTGAACGCGTCTGAGTCTTTGGACAGTGGACACGCCGCGTCGAGTCTTGACACTCTTGAACTTGAAATCGCTATCCTCTTTTTTCTTGTCACGCACGCGCAGGAATGGCTGATGGTCGACAACTTACAATAATCAAGGTTCAAACCCCCATCATAACAATTGATTCTCGCAGCTGATTGCATTCCCAACAAAAGGTCTTTCGAAAGTACAGCCATTCGCTAGGTCCAGATGCTTTACAACTTCTGGAAGAAATCCTTGAAAGGCATGATATAGCGGACAATGAGGTGGAGTTCTCAATCGAGACCATTGCAAGGGAGTATAATAAACAAGATGGTGACGCGTTTGTTAAATCAGTGGTGTTTAGCAAGGCTAACCCTTACAGAAGATGCTGCAATGAAAGTTTCATTAGACATCTTGCGAAGAGTCTACGACGCGTTGCAGGACCAAGGCAATCCGGGGGAAGCAGAAGAGCTACTAGACCCTGATAGCCATCTCTACTTCGTGGACGCATTTGAAATGCCGTCATGGCATTGGTCTCAGGAAAGAGGGACATTCGAGAAGTGTGTTCGTATCATGACTTGTTTTTAACTTTGGATCTCATTTCAATCAAGATCTTCTAACGCTCTCACTGTCGCGGGTAGCGCAGACTCGCGAATAGCGGCAGTACGCAACCGACTGCATATAATCAAGCAGAGCATCTTACGAAACGAACATTTCTCACCGTCTAGTCTTCCATCCCGAGACCGAGAATATCTTGTCACGGTACTCAATAATCTGATATCGAGGGCCCAACGCTGATTCATGACTCCATCAGCTCAAATCCACAAAGCAGCTGCTTGGTAGAGCCGGCGAACGCTTTTTGCTCTTGGGAATGCTTACGCACAACAAAGAAGGGAAGTTGTGCGTCGAGGACTCGGACGGAAGCGTCGAGCTTGATCTGTCCAAAATGGCAAGAATCTCGAGATCCCGAGATGACGTTGCTCTTATGACTTTCCTAGGATGAACCAGGTGAAGGATTGTATACGGAGGGCTGCTTTGCCCTTGTAGAAGGGGAATACAATGATGATGGCATCCTCGAGGTTGTGGCTATGGGACAACCTCCTTGCGAGGATCGGGAGACTGCTAGGTATGCTCTTCTGATTTTGTCACCACGCTTGCTCATGGAGAATAGGTCAATCTATGGTCACATCGACTTTTTGGGGCAAGGTTCAACTTCCCTACTCGAAGATGTGAGCTATCCTCGTTTTTCGGTGCAGACCTCGGCTAACCATGCTGCAGTCACAGTTCGCCCATCGGATTCGTGAAGAACTCTCCGACCTCTATTTCTTCTTCCTTTCAGATGTTTGGCTAGATCACCCTCAAACCCTTGTTGGACTTCAAAAGATATTCGACAATTGCATCGAAAACAGCTTTATACCTAAGGTCATCGTTATGTGTGGTAATTTCACAAGCAAATCAATAATGCAGGGGGGCGGTAGAGACATCCAACGTTATCAAGGTTCGTATAGGTTGATTCATGAGCGCGCTCGATGCTCATTCAATTTAATTGAACAGAAAACTTCGATTCCCTGGCCGATTTAATAGCATCATACCCTCAAATTACTCGGGAAACGCACTTTGTCTTTGTTCCAGGGCCTCTAGATATCACAGGCAACAGTACCCTTCCCCGCAGACCAATTTTATCTACCTTTACGTCCCATCTCCGCAGCAAGATCCCAAAAGTTCACTTCACCAGCAATCCTTGCCGCTTGAAATTTTTTGGTCAGGAGGTTGTTATATTTAGGGAGGATACCATGGCACGAATGCTGAGGAACACAATTGGCATAAAACCAAATGTCACTGGTGAAGATTTGAGACGATATGTATGTACAATGTTTGCGTTCGCGTGCAAAAAACATGCTACTGACCTTGGGCTCAGTTAGTCCAGTCGATATTGGACCAAAGTCATCTTACCCCGCTGACCACACATATTCAACCTGTATTGCCAGACTTCGACCATGCGCTCCGACTATACCCTCTTCCGACCGCCGTAAGCAATTGTCTCGTTTTCATACGCCTAAATCATAACGCCTATCCTAGGTGATTCTGGCCGACAAGTACGAGAAGTACAAGTTGACATATTCGGGATGTCACGTATTCAATCCCGGAGGTTTTGTTGGCAATTCTTTCTCTTTTTCAACATATTGCCCTGCCGAGAGGAGTTCTGAAGAGGGGTACGTGATCTGACTGGCTTGTCTAAGATCGCACCTGATGTTACTTGTGTCAGTGTGCTCGACATTGAGCAGGAAGACTAACTCGAAATTGGTGGTCTGGGTAGCAAGAATGTTCATCTATACTAAGATCTTCCCAATACCAGAGAAGTCGACACTTTTACAACATCGATGTTTATCGCCACTTCCACATAAAGGCTAACCCTGCGTGACGATCGAACTTCGCGATGAAGACAAAGCGACATCAGTTGACTTGTGGCAATTGGAGAAACTGAGCCGCGTTCACCGCAAAGCTTTTTAATTTGAAGCCGGAAGCCTACCTGCTGGTCAATTTGGCCACATAAAGTCTGTTGTGTATATCTGGGTTTCACCTATCGATGCTGCCGCACGGGTGTCATTGGTTCGTGAAGTTGTATTCACTGCGATCAGATATCTGCCAAACATTCGCCTGGATTCCCAATAGCACCAGAGGGAGAATACTTGTTGCTAGCACTTCATGCCACTCAAAAAAGAAATGCAGCAGCCATAAGCATGGCCCTGATTGACTGACTGAGGATTTGAGTCGGCGATGTGCATGATATCTGATACTAAAGCGCAGTGACTTATGGAACTCGAGAGTGTTATAACTAGAATAGCTGTGTTGAGTTTTGGATGATAGACAAATTATAACTTGAAGGCCTAGCGCGCAGCGACATAAAGGGAGCGCAAGTGAAAAGTCTGAATTCGTTTCCTATTGACCGTTATTTAAATTGACTTTGCCATCACCAGCTTGTTCCGAATTAACTTCGTTCATGCTCGTTCATGCTCGCTCACTGCTCTGCACGACGAGCAGTCAACGTACTTCACCAACCATGCGGGAAAGTTCAACCTCGTGGCTTCCAAAGACGAAGGTTTGCTAGCATCGAGACATTTACAAATGGGTTTCTGGATCTAGCCACCGCTCTGCCTCTACCATCGTCCTTCCCTCCGTATTCTACGACTATTATAATCTGCACGGTCGTTTCGCGTCTCATCTGGACCGTGCCATTTTCAATATGGGTGTGTCTTTCTTGCTGAGCTGGGTGTCGTCAAATAACTTTCTCCTCTTAGGCAAAGCAGAGACAGCGACGTGCGGAGGAAGAGGTCATGCCCATAATTAACTCCTTAAAACCTGGTGTATCAAAACTAGTTCTCGTTGAAATGCAGAAAGCTGGCGTTCGCGGTACGAAGGAACAGATACAAGCAGCTCATGGCAAACGTGTCAAGCAACTTGTGAGTCGTCGGGTGTTTCTCTCATCCCAGTCTAACACCCTCCACAGTTGACCACGCGTCGACAACAACTTTTTTCAGAGTATCGCTGTACTCCTGGATTCACAATGGCAATACCTATAATCACACAGGTTCCGTTGTTCATGGGGTTTTCGATAGTGCTCAACCGGTTATCACAAGCACCCACTCCGTTTGACTCCGAGTCGTTCTTGACGCTTTCCACACTGGCGCATGCAGACCCTACAGCTACCCTACCTATTGCACTCGGTCTTATCACTCTAGCCAATGTCGAAAGTTCACGCTGGTTCATAACTGACGCGCAGCGCGAGCGTCAGGAAAAGGTTCAGAAGTGGAAAGAGGATCGTGTCGCTCGAGGGGAGACTGTGATTGAACCTCAAAAGATCATTAAGTCTGCTCTGAGATTGATCTCTGTTGGTCGTATTGTTGTCGCGACCATGGTGCCAGGGGTAAGCATGTCTCTGGCCTGTTTTGCATATCGGCTTAACCCCATCATTCAGGGTGTCGTTCTTTACTGGGTCACCTCAGCTACTTTTGGGTTGGTGCAAACATGGATCATGGACTATTGGGAACTGCGGAGAAAGCGGAAGCTAGCGCTAGCTCCAGCACTTTCTAAAAAGACACCAGCAGCCAAGCAATAACGATGACGTGCTGTGTGGATATTGGTGAGTAGGACTGTTTCAATTCATCATGATTGGGCGGGATGACTATAAACGTGGTTTGAGGAACCACCACGTAACCCTTCCAAGGAAGCGGTCGGTGGCTCCTATGAATGTTTCTTGATCTAATATGACCGCCCTCAATTCTCTTCTTCATGCACTTGGGAAGCTAATGAAATCTGCCTTTGCAGACCCGAAATCAATTCGATCCGTACTAGATGATAGATTTGGGTGGCTCGTGGGCTTATAACGGCTGCAGTCGAGAATGCGAGAGTCATTGTCATCTCACCTGCTTAGAGAATACCACCAGAAACCAGTACTAAGGTTGTACTAGGATATGGAATATTGAATGCTCGTGAAATACATGTATTGTTGCACCATGTAATAAGACACAGCCACAAGGAAGCACTTCATTCATGATCAACTACATCCTGCTAGTATCACGACAAGGCCTGTCACCTTCCTCCAACCCATCAAAGTGTTATTGACTTATCAGATAACCAGGCAAAGTACGCCTTGCAAAATGGTTCTCCACCATGCCGCCCAAGCAAAAAGCCAAGATCGTAAAGGATGTTACTCAGCTCGTCCTGGCTCGGCGCACGCGAATGTGTAATTTCCTGGAATACAAGGGCGAGTTCTCTGTGTAGCATGCCTGAAAATGGGGATTTGACATTGATGACGCAGACACCAAGGTCGTATACCGCCGATATGCATCATTGTTCTTCGTTTGTGGGATTGCCTCAGGGGATAACGAGCTCATCACGCTGGAGATTATTCACCGTTACGTCGAGGTTTTGGACCGGTATTTTGGAAATGTACGTTTAATTGATTCGCGCTGTTCTAAGACAACGTACTTATGGAACGGGTATTATCTAGGTATGCGAGCTGGACCTGTACGTTTTGAAAGTATCGTAGTATGCGAGACCTTGTGTTCACTGATTTGTATCAGCATCTTCAATTTCCAGAAAGCGTATGCGGTGCGTTGTCAGCTTTTATTGACCATATATTCTTCTCATATCACTCGGCAGATCCTGGACGAGCTCGTAATCGCAGGAGAGATGCAGGAATCTTCCAAGAAGTCGGTGCTGCGCGTGGTTAGTTCTTCGTTGCTACAATGTTGGGACAAATTGAACAAATCCACATCACAGGTCACACAATCAGATAGCGTTGAAGAGCAAGAGTCCTCCGAGGACATCATAGGTCGTTTGGGAGCTGTACGCGGTTAGACTCATTTTCTTTCTTGTGGTATTGGCTGTATCTATAGCATTTCAAGGCCCGTTGATCCGCTGAAAGTTACCTCAACCGCTTTAGATTCAATTGTTGCACTGAAAGGCATGACACGGATAGTTTATGGATAGCGGATGTCCTGAGACGTATGCGTGGATAATACCCAGAGGTAGCGGTAGCGGCAGTGACAGTATCTATATCTTTCCAGTCGGTTTTAGCTTGTTCAGGATATACCACCTCACAAGATCAAGTGTTGCTATAGAGTCCTCCACTGAAGAATGACCGCTTGTTCCTCCACCAGCCTGGATTGTGAGACCGAGGTGTTCTTTCGCCCTGATATAATTTCGTGAATAAGTGGCATAGAGTCCGATGAGGAATGACGTACAAATCCCTCAAAGAACGTCGATATGGAGGACCTGCGCGATGAGGGAAGATAATAGCTGTATCGACACATTGGTGGTGGATTATCCGAAGTGTGTTAAGATCGTTGTGAAGGGCGTGACCGATGACGATGGTATCGCGGTTAATGAATGCGTCAAGGGACTTGCGTATAGAAGATAATGAGAGCATAGCCTGCGCATGCTCTTCCTGGGTAACGCCTGAGAATCGTGTGTTATAGTCTCTGTAAGAAACATGGTCAGTTTCACGATCGCAAGGACTGAAAAGGGGGGAACAGCTGACACTGACTTCAACCCCGTCATCCATTCTTACTAGCTCATCGAAAACTTGTTTCCCGGAACCATCGACAACCGAAACACGGGCGACGCGCAGACCTCCAGTTGTGTAAATCATCTCGCAGTCTAAGGCCACGACATCTAAGGCTGTATCCGTCTCCGTATCAGCGACTGATGGGCGTGTAAATGAGAATGCATGACGTGAGTGCAAATCTTCTGCTTTAGACTCGTAAAAGACATGGTGGCCTCTGGTACACCCGCCTTCCTCCGCTGGCTTCTGGCAGCAAGAATAGGAACGCATACGCTCGCCTTCAAAGAGGGTCAAAGAATGATTGCTGCGTTATAAAATTTGATTACCATTGACTTTGTGCGTGAAGAGCCTTCCCCAGTGATATTGACATTCTTCTGCTATGGGATTGTTTTTGACCATGTATGACTGGGTACACCGTTCGCATTGAGTGATTTTGCCTTCAGCACCCGGCTGATCGCCTCCAAGCCCTTCAGGCACTTCGGTAATAAAGCCCCACGTTTGCATGGCCGCCAAAGACATGACGATTGGTTTGAGAAGGAGTCGAGTTACCTGGAGGTCATTTAATTTTTTCCTGGATTCTGCGCGAGTCGCTAAATCTTCCTCAGTTCCAACAGAAGGATGTGATATAGACGCAGGTATTGGACGTCGCTTCAAAGCTGCTATTGAATTTATGACAGCCTAAATGACAATTTCAAGAAGTGCGAACTGGCAACGAATGGGGCGCACGTTGCGATATGTCAACTTAGTGGACTTGGTATAGACTTGTTCCTCTTGACGAAGGGCATGCTCAGAGGCAAGGGTCGGGTTTAAGGGCAGTATAGTGTCGTAAAGGACGACAAAGTGCTCATACAGTGTCTTCAGCATTGCTTGACGAACTGGGAGGGCGACTTGAGATTGTGCAGCATTAATTCTAATAATCGGTACGCCGGTCTATGTAGCACGATCAATGAACTTCAGTGTTAAAATCACCGGTGCGTGCGTACACTAGTATGCGAAGCGGCAGAGACGGCAACTGGCTTCTGTGCAGTGCCGACTCTGAGACGTTGTGTTGGGGGACCGCTTGGGGCCACATTGCTACTGGATGACGGACCCTGTGCTATGTTATGAAAGGGTCGCTTTGAGGGCACTGCGGCATGAGGTACGACGTCGGCAGATGACGTCTGTAGGAGGGGCTGAGCTTTCTGTACGGTGATGTTCAGCGAATGATGAGAAGGTAGATCTAGGCTATGAGAGAATATACATGATAGACGATTACAATTATTTCTCTCTGGACACGGCAATGAGTGAAAAAGAGCCAAAGATGAAAACATAGTCTATGTATATGAGCAGAGACCAAGCAAGAAGACTTGACTTTATCGACGTGGATGACATAATCAAGGACTTTGTTTCATTTCGGACTTTGAGTGGGTATATTCAGTCTCTTGGTCAAGTCAAACGATACACGGGTCTCATAGTATATTTAGAGATAGACATGTCTACGCACGGCTCTCTCAATGAGAAACTTCTCAAAAGACGCCCTCGAGCTTCCTCTTTGCATCGTATAGAGTAGATATGTTTCAACTGTTCAAATCGTATCATACTCACATTTATCCAGGACTGACAAAGGTCATCATCTAACAGGCCCCTTCATGGTCCAAACGTGAGTCTTCATTCTATCTGTCACCCTCTCTGTCTTAAACATCACTCGATAGACCTTTAGGGTCCAATACACCAGAGTCTTGTGAATCTCCCGTCTCCAGCGATAGCTTCAGCATGATCAAACCGAAAGGAGGGTTGGTCGCAGACCTTCTCAATGCTAGATGGGTTGTAAATCCAGGTCGGTCCTCTTTCGTCTACCTCATTTCCAGAATGAACCCTCTTTACAGTCTCGTCCTTCAAGTTGCTTATGATACCCGTCTTACTGTATATCAATTGGGAATTATTGGCCCCATACATTGCTCCGGGACTCCCCAATCCAGTCGCCCCTCTTCTTTTTATATCTTACCGAATTCCTGATTCCTCTCCCGACGATCCACGCTATGGTAAAGGTTATTTGGACCTGGCTTTTCTTGCATTCCACATCGTTTTCTACTCCTTCGTACGCCAATTCGTCACTACTGCCATTTGTCACCCTATCGCTCGCTACTTTGGCATAAAGAAGCGCGGAAAACTTGACAGGTTCGGTGAACAAGGCTATGCTCTCATGTACTTTGCTATTATGGGTGCTTGGGGCTATGTAAGTTCACCGATCATCTTGCACCATACATTTTCTAAACTCGACCCAAGCGCATCATGGGTCAACTTCCGACATGGTGGTATCGCACTGAATACTTTTGGATTGGTACACGACCTTCTTGCACGCATGTTCTTGTCTGACCCTTTTTCCAGATTACCCTCACTGGCAGATGAAACCCGAACTTAAACGTTACTTCCTCATGCAATCGTCTTATTGGTGTCAACAGTTTATCGTACTGTTCCTAGGTCTCGAGAAACCGCGCAAGGACTACAACGAACTCATCGCACATCACTTCGTTACCCTATGGCTAGTCGGGTATGTTTCGAAGCATTACAATATCTTGACCACCGGTCTAATTGCGAACAGATGGGGCTATCTCACCAATCTGACGTTGATCGGACATGCTATCTATATGAGTATGGATATCCCGGATGCTTTTCTGGCTGTTCGTTTACAGTCTGAACGCGTTCTTCACGATCTGACCTATGCTATTGACAGTTCTCCAAGTTGCTCAATTACATGGGATTCCACAGACTCAAAGTGTGCTCCCTTGCAGTTTTCCTTGTCGCATGGACGTGAGTACTTTTTACACGTTCATTTTCAGCAACCAACTTCTCCAGTTACTTCCGGCATTGGCTGAACCTCGTCATCCTCCGATCTATATGGTTCGAGTTCGATCTTATCGAGTGCGTGTTCTTTTACCTACTGGATTCCTGATCTTACCGGTTGCATGCAGCGAGAGCAATCGTGTATGGGCCCCTAAAACTGGCGCTTGGCTTACTTGGTGGATGAAATATCAAATAGCTTTTCCCATCTCCCTGCTCCAGCTGCTCAATCTTTTCTGGTACTATCTTATCTTGCGCATCGTGATAAGGTCATACATCCGGTCTCTATGTCTTTTCGTCGCTCATTTTTGTACATCACAGATCATTGAGGGATGTCAAGGTTACGGATGTCCGATCTGACGACGAGGATGGCGATGACGATGACGATGACGATGATACAAAAGACGCCAAGGATGACTAGCTGGAGACTTGCTGCTAACATAACGACCTCTTGGACGCCTCTATCTGTGCGAGTCTCTAGGACAGCACACATTACTATCATGTCATTTGAGTACTATTATGGATACAATTGTATTTCCAGAAAGTACAATTGTGGTGCGCCAGCTAAGAGATTTAATTTCATCACTCGGACGCTCCAGCCCAAATTTCATGCTGCAACCTGTTCCTCAGGCTTAGTTTTGTCGATGACAGGTCCGACACCTTCCATGTCCGAATAATCGCTATCTTCCTCCCAGGGCTCGAATTTGACCTTCACTCCAGCTCCGGTCTGAGGAGCAGTAGGATGAGCGGTGTTACCTGTTCGGTTGGGCCACCTCTTCTCCCTCTGCATATCTAGAGGGTCGCCGGAGGCCATTTCCTTTATGGCCAGCAAAGTGTACTGAAGATATTGTTAGTCAACCTTGTCTTGGATCAAACAGTTCCGAACGTACATGCGCATCATTACCTGCGTTGTGCAGGAATGAAGTGGGGACTTGCAGATGCCTGCATACTCGCTCTAGTGAACGTCTGTTATGCCCTCCTTCGCCTTCCAGTGCGGCGAATAAGTCGGACGTGTCTAATACAAAGACGCCACTGTCGGGCTTTGCATCAGGAAGTAAGAAGTTGAGGTTGGGCAGGTCTGCATTGACGGCAGGAGATTTGAGGTATCTGCCAATTGTATTAGCGGTCAGACGCATGAACTCTGAATCATCCTCTCACTTGATGTCCTGGTTATTATCGTGAAAGATCAAGAAAAGTGGGCCATACTTTTGCAGGTCAGCCACTAGATTTTGGATGCGGGTTCTGAAAGTAGCTCGATTGACAAGTTCACTGTCCCCGAATGAAAAGTGCTAGAACATTTGCGCTAGGGTCAGTTACAAGCAGTGACGTCTCGACTTTCCTACCTCGCGATTATTCTGGACGAATGTATTGGTGTAGTGGCGATATTCCTTCACGATGAGATGTCCTTGTTCTTCGACTTGCTGGCCATCGATCCACCGGACAAAGCTCCATCCAAACTCAGTGAGCATGGTGTGGTCCCTGTCCCATGCTTCGAAGTCCAGAGCACACCAAACGCCGACTTTCTCTGCCCAGAGAGTGCGAACGCGTTCAAAAATCTCACGGCGCGTTTTCAACATCGGATCTGCTCCTTTCAGACGCTTGTTATTCTTTTCTATTTGCTGGAGATTCCTGCAATCAGAAACGACGCGCTGGGGTGTTTGGCGCAACATACCTTGAGAGCACCCTTGAGTTCGTCTTTGGTCTTGAATGTGACAGGTGAGACGTGACGGAGGCTAGATTCGGTTAGAAGACAATCGGAGTAAGGAAGAGATATGAGGTTTTCAGTGAGACCCATGGCGTGCAGCCAGTATCTCAGGTATTCCACCTGGGCTGAGGAGAAGAGCAATCGCGTCTCAAAGTTCTGGAGCGTCCCTAGGTAGAGATAAGGTATATGATTCTGCACAATACAGCGATTTCAATTACCCAAGAAGAGTTCGGCTCCATCGATGCCCTCTTTGTGGAGGGGGATGATCCGGGTGAACAAAAGCATCTTGTGCTAACGATGCCCTCAAGGGACTCCGATCTGCCTCTGGTAAAGCTTGATGCCTGTGCAATTAACGATTTTCCGTCAGCAAGTTGTTATCCACTAGATCTATCGTACCATTCGAAGAAAATATCAGTATAACGATAATACCCTGTGATGACTGGGGAAACCATGATCGATAGAATAAAGACAACCTGAACTCGTACGGCACTTAGATCAATGATCATTATTGTTGTTGTTTACCATAAATGGAAAGTATGTTCGAGTTTGTCGCCGCCGACCTTCCACTGCTCCGAGTCCTGGCCACTTATCACTTCATAAACCAACCAAGACCTGCTCTTTCTCATCTTTTCCATTTCGTGCTGCTAGTTAAATTAAATGGCACAAACCGTACAGAAGCGTAAGAGACCGACCGGTGCCACACAAGAGGATGGTTCAGACGAACCCGGACCCTCCAAGCGGACCAAACACCCAACAGCGCGTAAGAGCACTGGTAGGGAGAAACCCGCCCCCGCTTCTGCAAGGGGTGGCAAAATACGAGGTACGTACGCGTCCAGTCGCGTCCACACGCGTCTTAACCTCACCCCTGCAGCCTCGAACGCAGGCGCAGAGGACGAACAGGGACAATCGCGGAAGAAGCGTCGTTATCGCCCCGGTACTCTCGCATTGCGCGAAATCCGAAAGTATCAGCGGAGCACAGACCTACTGTTGCGCAGGCTTCCTTTCTCGCGCGTGGTATGTGTTTAGTTGTGTCTCAGCCTAGGTACGTTGTGCTGAATGGGAGCTCCAGGTACGTGAAATTGCGATGGATATGATGACGGACACGAACTACGAGAGGGGGGAAGCTGGGTTAAGGTGGCAGAGCTCAGCAATCATGGCTTTACAAGAAGCTACTGAGGCGTTCCTGGTTCATTTGTTTGAGGATGCGTACGTCCTACTCTTGTGTCTCTTAAGTCTATCTTAACAGCGGTGTAGTAATTTGTGCGCGATACACGCCAAACGCGTAACAATCATGCAGCGCGACATTCAACTTGCTCGAAGAATAAGGGGGCCATGGGGTGGTTTGGGGTAGGGGTTGATTGTGGATATTTATACAGTTATTTGTGTCGACTATGAAGGCATTTAAGTTTATGTATCGCACTCATTATAATGGCAAGCAATGACTAAGTACTAAGAACGATGTGCATTGTACATGAAATTAGATAAAGTGAAAACATAAAGTTGGACACGGCCAAGGGCATATCAACAACATATGTTTGGAGTGCCGCGTAGAATGAATGCTAGAAGATTAATAATGATACATGCGCTCGAATAGTGGGCATAAGAGTACGATTGAGCCTAAACAATAGAACTGTGTGTGATGATTTCCGATGTGTAAGATGGGTATTCATGAGTGAATGTAAATGAGCGTGACACCAGAAATAGGGTCCGGATGCAGTGTTAAGAGTTCCTGATTAAATGTCCTTGCATGTACTATGGGTATACACTTTGATGCCGACTTGACGTTGAGCGGGTTTGGGACGTCGAAACAGACCTTCCAGGTGCGGTGTGGGCGTGCACTAATGCAGGTGGCTGATGGGAACGATGAAGGCCACTGCTGCAGGAAGGGTGTGCAGCTTGAGGAGACCTTTTGTCCCGCAGGTCTGTTTGGCTTCCGTACTTCCGATCAGCTGTGACATTACTGCTACTTGAGTGTCCGCGTGTTTCATCGCTGGCACGCCGCTGGTGGTTGGAAACGTGCACGGGAGAATTAGGAGCAGCGCGATATGTATGGCGGACGCTTTCTGCGCTGTGGTTTGAAAAGCTGTTTTGTCGAGGAGACGAGGGAACTTGACCATGGGAAGAGTAGGTTGGATACGGTTGCATTCCGAACTGGTTCGTCATGCCAAACTGGTTCATCATAAAAGGAGGGGAAGGGGGAAGTAAAGGGTCCAAGGAATAGAATGGCATAGCCATCATGGGAGCGACGGGAAGTGGCGAGACTGGTGGAATGGAAAAAGGGGGGACCGGCATGTTACCCCAAGGGTTGTATGGTAGAAATGACGCGCGAGGATTCGACAACGGTAACGACAATTGTTTTGACGGGTCAAATGCAACAGAGGTGCGTTTGCTAATGTATCGCCCATCCCGACCTCTTGCATCGTCTGATGATGTGGTGCGAGTTGAGTAGACGGATGGAGGCCTTGAGTAGCTATGCTGGCTCCCCGGGGTAGCTGGCATCGAGCTGGCAGGAGAACCATCGTAAGGTGAGAGGCTCGCAGAAGAAACCCTGAGATCTGTTGTCCGTTGGCGGGTTGATGATACCCCAGACGGATGAGCGTCACGGGATGCAGACCTGTCACGTTCTATGTCCCGAACCAGGGTGGATGACGAGATATGACCAGCTCTAGAGGCTTCTCGGCGGGTCCGCGAAGCTTGCAAATCCGAGGCGTAATTTTGTTTTCGTCTTGCTTCTTCTATTTTCTTCTTGTGGAGTTCACGAGCCTGGCGCTCCTCTTCCTGCTCTCTCATTTGTGCTTCCCACAACCGGCGTTCTTCCTCCCGCTTGCGCCTGTCTTCCTGTGCGCGCCGTCCCTCTTCTAATTCTCGCTTCTCACGCTCTTCGCGAAGAAACCTTGCTTTCTCCTCGCGCTTTTTCTTGATACGTAGGACATAACCCAAAGGAATTTGATCATCTTTGCCATCTTCCGCGAACCTGACACCTCGTTTGACAGCGGGTGCGGGGGTAGGCTCTGCTTTCAGATTGCTAGTTTCATTTTTAGATTCGTCTGGTGAGTCAACTGCAAGCGTGAGGGGCGAGAATTCAAAGTCTGCGACGGCAACGGAGGGGCTGAGTTTTTCCGTCGATGGCAATGCGACTGCGGCAGCCCCTGGAAGAATGATGAACTAAAGACACGAACTGTAAATTACTAAAACTTACCAGAGGGAGGTCGAGACAACTCAGGCTGAAGCTCTGCAGATGGATCGAAGCCATCATCAATGCCAGCCAATATTTGTAACGGCTCCGAAAATTCGAGAGCCGCGACACCAAACTGTGACCCAGAGATAGAGGAGGTGACGATTTGACCGGAAGGTTCCTGGCGAGTCCAGACAAGAACTCGATCTTCGTAACAAGGGCGAGCCACCCAATTGCCGAGACCTTCGCTATTGCTCCTTAAAAACTGTGCCTTCGGCCATCTGTCAATATCGGGATCGTGCACCGGTGCTTCTTTTACAAGAGTCACGGGCCGACTGCCAAGGGGTGCTAGGCTGCGTTCCTCTGAGGGTGAAAGGGACTCCAGCGTGCTCAAGAGCACTGCTTTGTGCATCTTAGATTCCAGGGTGTCTCGGCAACGAACATGTCCCACACGAAGACAGGAGCGGGGGAACGGTGTGTTGTGGGGAATATCCAAAAGAGGAGGGCAAGAAGGACGATCACCGTCAGCAGAGCTGTTGAGAATAATTACTCTCATACTATGTCGTGCCTGGGTAATAGATTGTGCAAAGCTCTGGGTGGGAGGATCCTGAAGATGATCTGCTTCAGATTCAGATTCAGATGACGCATCATCCGTCTCGTTCGATGTTGGTGTCGGTGGAGGACGTAGTGCGATCCCTGCCGTCGGTAAAGGCGGCAACCAAGTTGCTTTCGTATCTCCTTCATCTCTGTGGTTTTTTGCCCCTAACCAAGATTTCCAGCTACCCTTCTGGCCGAGCATGCGTGTGCGGGGTAACTCTTCGTCGTCAGGAGTACGCAGCTCTGCAGAGCCGGAGGATGCTGAGGAGGAGGAACCACTAGCAAAGAGCTGTTGGGGGACTACTTTTCGAGATAGCGAGTTGAACATTCTCAAGCTACCCTTCCGTTTTGCAGCTTCCTGTGGGAGAGGGTCGTTGTCGTTGGACGACGGTGCGTCAGGCTTGTCAGCGCGTCTCGCGAGGAAGACAGAGGACATGCGACGCATGCTGGTCGTGGTTGGAAATGTAAAGAGTGAGGTATGCAAAAGAAGGCGACGCTAACTCGAAACGCTTTAGAGCATTACAAATGGGACTGGAAGCTAATGATTGATTCAATGGTTCAATGCTGCAGATGGAAGGATCCGAATTAGCACGTTTCACGGCGTCTCTCACCGGTTCTGTGTTAGCTCGGCTACTTATAGTTTGAACTTGAGAAATCACTGGTTTGTGAACTACGGATGCTGTGCGATTTTCTGTGGACACTGGAAGTTCAAGGATTCGGTAGATGCATGGCTTTATATACTTGCTCGCACGAAGATCAAAGGTGCCTGACAATTCCCTTGGGTTCGTGTGAATCGACCCTGCACGCAGAAGATTGTTATTATTACCCCTGCCTGCTGGAATAGTCGGTGCCACGATGCGTCAAGTTAAAGCAAACCTGATCACGTATCAGTGACGCCCACTATTTTTGGAGACGGCTCATCGGCCAACTCAATCCTCCGTACCATCGGACAGCCCCTCTCCTTCTGACTCTTGCTCTTCCTTCTCTCGTCTTCGCTCCTTGTAATACCATCGCCGGAGTCGCCGCTCAAAGCGTTCAACTACCCCGCACAAGTAATCATCACTGACGCCAACCCATTTGGCTGATCTCGTGATGATGAGCGCCTGCTCCTCTGGGAGGTTTCCCAGGACATCGCGAGAATGATAGATAGTGTATGATTCTCCGGGTTGAAGAACGGCCGTCTCGCCTACGTTGATTTTTGTGGCTGAGAGTCCTTGAACGATGCTGTGAGGGACCATTGCTTCCAATCGAGTACCTCTACTTTCAGTTGACAGTGGAAAATAACTGTCCAGGATTTGTTGATCTATTCAGCGTCATATGATCAACAACCACGCATTTCGGCGAAGGAAAATGCCTAACCTGATTTACCCCTTTGCGATTTCACCAACACCCGTTCGCAAAAGTCGAGGAATTCGTCTATAGTCGCAAGATCCATATCGCCGGTTGACCTGACGCCCTCTAGTTAGTTAGCCCGTGACGACACCTTGGTGCCTGCTTCCTCACATAGGAATCCTGGAGCTAAATCGCTTTTCATTATGCCGGGTATCCGCTTCACCCATTCCCCTGAATGCCGACAGGTAACCATGAACGTCTGGAAAGGCGGATGCGGGATCCTCTACATCACGTGGGAGCCTGAGCTGTGTCAATTCCGTTGTGTCTCACCAAAGCGAAACAGTTACCTCGGTTTCCCGTCAAGGCCATACACAAGTTTCAGCACAACTATTGCTGTGGCCACTAGCGCTAGCTCCGGCGGAACGTTGTCATAAAGGTGCATTTCGGGATCGCCCGGTGTGCAACGTGATACAGGTGACAAGCTGTGGTGGAGTATTAACGGCAGCGACAGGATACGACCGAGCCTCTTTGCGAGCCTGTACAATATGGCTGGGGATATGAGTACGCATTACAAGCATAATTCATAACTTCGGGGGAACATACGAGTGCCGCCCAAACATTGCTGCACAACTCGCCATAAGACGGGCGACGCGTTGAGCTCTGGTATGAACACGCCATAATTCGCGTACATAAGCTTTGCCAAGCGAGAGGCGAGGCGGTGGATGTAAAGCGTGCTTGGGGGAAACTGTAAACGTTCTTGCGATCAGTTCGGTTGCGTAGAAAACGTGATTGTAATTACATGAGGAGAGAGCGCGCGAACAGCGTGCTTCGTCAAATGACAAGTCATATCGGACGGGAGGAGGCGAAGGAAATCCAAATAAGGGAGTTCGTAAGATTCAATAACGCTAATCGTATGGGTCAATTCAATTGCAAAACAAAAGGGTATACAAGCCAAGACTTACTCAATAAAATCCTTGTACATCACAGGTAAACGCATGGTCCAACATGTAACCACAAGAACAACGATACAGTTGACAGGGCGGTCATATGTACCGACAAATCGGTAACTTGACTGGACCCCATGCTTTTGGGAAGCATGGTCCTTTTCCTTGTCCTCGTCAGAGGAACTTAATTCGGAATTTTCACGCAGAAGCTCTACAAGCTCCGGGTCTTCCTCTTCACTGCTAGAAGAGGACGACTGAGGGCCATCACCATCCTCGTCATCGGACCTAGACTCTTCAAGGTTGTCTAATAACGGTTTTGTGTCACCAGCGTCGGGGTTACTACCCTTCTGCTCCCGCATGTGGTGGTAAGGTTCCGCGGGGGGTGGTCTCGGCAGAAGAGTCAAATGCAACGCCCACGTATCTCTGCAAACAGTCTGAGTCAATGAAGTGACAGCCTCCAAACGATTGGTGGGAACCAACTTCAAACTCGGGAGGTAGATCCCAAAGTGCAATCAATGCTGCGATCTGCTTCCGTAGCACTAGCTGCAAGCATTGATAATAGTGAAAGCGTGCGCGTTCGCCGTGATAGACTATTGTTGATTGGCTAAACGTTCCCATTGCAAGGATCTTTGAATCACTCACGCTTAGGATCGGCTCGGCTCTGCCTTACCCCCTTCTTATGACCCGACTTGAGAGTGCGCTTCCTCATGGTGTAATTACCTAGATCCTGTGTTTCGCCTGATTCATTTCTGAAGTTCTGTCGGATGTGTTAACTCGTGGGGCACTCGTGCCAAACGATAAGAAATCGAACACACCTGTATGACATGCCCTTCGCTGCAGGCGACAAGGCCGCTCGAAGAGTCCTTGTGCCATTGCTTTGACCCACAGAAAGGACATTTACGTCGTGGCGCCATGACTCATGAAAATGTTGTACAAAGAAACAAACGCCCACGTGATGCACGTTTGCCAGGGTTGTTATATCTTCTTAGTTCTAACTTCTCAACTTGTTCACCCTACACATTTACTCTTTCTGCACGCTCGCGACTGCAGCAAGAAGTGGCCGTGACAGTCGCAGATGAAGCTTTTCGTCTTCGTTGCGTTTCTTGCCGTGCTGGTAACGGTAGTTTCAGCGTGAGTGTGATCTTCTAGACGCACACGAGTGCATTGTCTGACCTGGAGCGCGTTTCTCATTTTTCTATCCTCGCCCCAAGCAGATGGACCAAAGTAAGATATATTATTACCCATCTCAATACAAGATCTCATGCAGACAGGAAGGAAGACCATGAAATATTTGATCTAGTCACTGCTCTTGAAGCATCCGAGGGTGTGTCCTGAGTACTATCTAGTGCTTTAAGTATGGAATATTGAGACTCCACTTCCATAGGCAAGGGCACCACGTTCTACTCTTGGCTGGATGTGTCTTCGACGGCAACCCTTGTCCAGATTAATAAGGCGTACAGGAAGAAAAGCATGCAGCTCCAGTTGAGCACCAGTCCCGTGTTATATGTCATTGGTTGCTAAGTGTATATTTAGTCCGGATAAAAATCCTGGTGTGAAGGGCATTCATGAAAGGTTTGCACGTCTGGGAGTCATTGCAACCATTTTGAAAGATACCGAGGGACGTAAGCGGTAGGTAGACTTCGCTCATACTTGGTCCGAGTTCCGAATGTTTATTTGACTACCCACAGGTATGACTTTTTCTACAAAAATGGTGTACCGAAATGGAGAGGCTCGGGCTACTATTATGCCCGGTTCAGGCCAGGCCTAGGGGTATTTCATCATTTTTTGCTCGGATGTGAGATCCGGAATTCATTTTCAAACTTTAGACTGTCCTGGTATTCCTCATCATCCTCACATCTGGGCTTCAATATCTCGTGCAGACATTGAATTACAAACGGGACCTGCGGCGCGTTGAGCTGGCCATACGGGACGCCAGACTTGCGGCTTGGGGCCCAAAGATGGAACCACTCCAAGGAAAACGGAAGGTAGGATTCATGTCTGAAAGTGTGGTCTAGATATCTAGACATGCTTTCACCTACAGGTTAAGGTCAACCTTGGCGGTGGTCCTCGTCAAGACGAAGATGGCAATGTTGTTGCCGGGAAAATGCTTGATATGGTCGTAGAACAAGACAATGTATTCATTGTACGTGATGTACCGATATCACTCTGCAAAGAATGATACTTACTGATCAAATGAGCAGCTGGATCCCTCGGGTAGTCTGCACCTCCTGGATACAAATTCCGCTACTCCTGCAGCCATTTCAAGAACATGGTTCATCGAGCTATTGATCGGCAGTATTCGTAAATTCCGTTACTCCAAAGAAAATTTCCAAAAAGGAGTAGATAACGAGCAAAGTGCGGCCACTGTTGACAGACCCGACTCTCCTGCGAGTGGAACTGCTACGCATAGTGGAACAAGCGAGGGTGAAGAACCTAGGCAGACAGGCCATGCTGCAGCAGTGAAAGCTGGTGGGAGAAGAAGAAAGGCGACAAGGAAACGGTGACCACATGTCGTACAGTTCTTCGGTAACCTGCAGGGATTTAGAGTTGCGATATATATGTGGTACTAGCCTCGCTAATTCCAGATTAGATGTGATGGTTTCATTAACCCCGTGGTCAAAGATGATCATGTGGTTATTCGTTAGACATCTAGCTTTCTAGTTACTGGTGATCATTTGCGCCACTGCTGGCATGCCGGCAGGTGACCATTGCATCCAACTCCACATCGCAGGGGTGGCGAAACAGATGGTGATCAACAGTTGGCATCAACTAAAAGGATGAAAGATTAAATTTGAAACGCGAAGGATTATGGATGGGACGTGAAGATGACCGACTCTCCGACGACGAAGGGAGCCTCGGACATAAGCTTTAATATTCGAACTGGTAATAATACATGATGAGGGGGCCATGAGAATGGAACTCTTGCAAATCAGTAATACATAACTTGGTGAGACACGCAAGCCAAAATGAAATTCCGGCAGATCGTCGCATCACTTTGAAGGCCATTTGCTGCCTTTGTTCGACTGTATCGATGTGTACTGCTTGTGTGATACTGGCGTGATGGGGAGTAATTGAATACAAGGCGGAAGCTGAACACCGCTGCCATGCACAGCAAGTACCATTGGAGCACCGTTTATGAGAAATATGTCGGCCGATGAGGAGCTCACATGTTCCGATGGAGCTGCGGAAAGCCTTGGCCACTAGACTAGAAGACAGTGAGAGAAACGGGCCGACCCAAAGTGAGAGCACTTCGGACGCAGAAGGGCAATAGCTATAGTACCTCCAGGACGTTGACATTAATCAACATGTAGATCCGAGCAGGGTCGACTGCAAGGAACGAGAGGAATTTGCAACTCTTTCAAATTGAGTAGTAACAAATATATTATATAACGAAGCAGTGCAAAAATGGGTGATGTAATTCCTTATCGTCCAATCAGTAACACGGTGCCTTGAGTAAATAAATGGCAACAAGTGGGATAGTGACCTCTCCATTTAAAGCGTTCTACAAAGGCCTTGACTCCTCTGCATCTCCTGAGCCTCACACGTTGTTCAACATCACAAGCACTGATATCTTTTGAACAATCATGGCCTATCATTACCACAACGATCTTCTTGCCCCCTACCTTGCATTGCCCCAGGGCGACAAGGTTCAAGCTGAGTGTGAGATTCTTTTACTCTCTTATCGATTGAAGAAGAAGTTTTCTCATGCAAATCTTAATCTACAGACGTTTGGATTGATGGTGATGGCGGTCTTCGTTCAAAGACCACGGTCGGTCATCGCGAATGATTGTCGGTCCAGTAGTTTATATTGATATTCCAATTCCAGACAGTGAGCAAGAAGGTCACTGATATCGGCCAGCTCCGCATCTGGGATTTCGATGGTTCATCCACAAACCAAGCTCCAGGCACTGACTCAGATGTCTACCTCCGTCCCGCCGCTATTTTCAAGGATCCTTTCCGAGGTGGTGACAACATACTCGTTCTCGCCGAGACCTACAACAACGACGGTACCCCCAACCGAACCAACTACCGCCACCACACTAAGAAGGTCATGGATCTCGCAAAGGACACCGCTCCCTGGTTCGGTCTTGAGCAAGAATATACCCTTTTCGATGCAGATGGCACGCCATTCGGCTGGCCGAAGGGTGGTTTCCCCGGACCCCAGGGCCCTTACTACTGCGGCGCAGGTATGCTTCCTTTAGCCGCCCAGATGTGCTCATCGTTAATTTCGCTTCTTTAAGGAACTGGCAAAGTTTTTGCCCGTGACCTCATCGAGGCTCACTACCGTGCCTGCCTGTACGCCGGCGTGAACATTAGTGGTATCAATGCTGAGGTCATGCCCTCCCAATGGGAATTCCAAGTTGGCCCTTGCGAGGGTATCTCCATGGGTGACCACCTCTGGATGGCTCGTTACCTTCTCGTCCGCATCGCTGAACAGTGGGGCGTCAAGGTTTCCTTCCACCCTAAGCCTCTTTCAGGGGACTGGAACGGTGCTGGTTGCCACACCAACTACAGCACCAAGGCCATGCGTGAGCCTGGAGGTATGAAGTACATTGATGAGGCCATCGAGAAACTCTCAAAGAGACATGCTGAGCACATCGCTGTCTACGGCGAGGACAATGATCTCCGTCTTACCGGCCGTCATGAGACTGGCCACATTGGAGACTTCAGTTCTGGTGTTGCTAACCGTGGTGCTTCTATCCGGGTGCCAAGGCACGTTGCTGCTCAGGGTTATGGATACCTCGAGGACCGTCGTCCTGCCTCCAACATTGGTCAGTATACCCTCTATTCTCGTTTGTCCTGTTAATAACCTGTATTTTTCTATGAATTAGACCCATACCGTGTGACTGGAATCATCATAGAGACCACTATTCTTGACAAGTAGAAGTTTTTTTTCTCGTTGTACTTTACTCCCCATCCGTTTTTGTTGGGACGCAGCCAAATAAAGGAGGCATGCATGACTCAGACTCAGTAATAATTTGCTCTGCAGCACTGTGTATAAATGATCATCGAATGACTTCGCTCTATGGGAACAATCAGCTGCTTGTTAGACTTATAGTGAATCGAAACGACTGGTCGATGACTCTTGCACATCTCATGCTACAAATATTTTCTAATAAGTAATATCACCAGTGTGGTCACCAATGATCACTATTCTTGGGCACTTATGGCACGCCAAGCTTGGAAAAGCACCCAAGCAAATTGTACATAACAAATACCAGTGTGTTCAACACGCTAGAATCCTCTAGTATCTATATTCGTTTATTTGGTGTTGTTAGAATCGAAAGGTCTTGATTGCCGAAATTGGTCAGTCTGGACTTTGCTGTTGTACAGGTGACAGTAATGGATCCGCAAGACAGAAAATTAACTTTACCTGCCTTTCTCAAAGTCCTCACAAGCAACAATGTGCCTGTTCCCAAGGCAATGGCAGTAGCCAGCAAAGTGTTCGTCTGCTCAATTAGCAAGTTTGTGTGAATAACTGTGATTTCAGATACAAGGAATCCAATACGACTAGTCTCCTTGCGCAACTTACAGATGTGAAGTTGAAAGTGAGTGGCGTGGAAGACAAGGAAACGCGGAAACTCGTGCTAGCTGCAATTCGCAAAGCGGGGTACACTGCGCAGCCCTCGGGTTCGAAATTGAAACCAAAAAGTGACAAATCCAGGAGTTCGGATGAGCAGCCCGTGGCAGGTCCGTCTGAACCGAGGGTCACAAATGCAATGCAGGCCGTGGTGAGTCCGCATCCCGTTGTGTATTTTGAATGCTAAATTACATAGACCACACCAGTTAAGCGAAAACGAAAATGGGACGACGACTTAAACGAGCTCCTTCCAGATGGACCTCCAGACGAAGCTGCTACGTACGGCAGCTTGGAATTCAATGAGGTATTAGATGAGGCGGTACAGTTCAGTTCTCTGCTCGCTTAATCAGGCATGCTCAGCGCGTGTCTTCTTAGGTTCTTAAGACGAAGTCTACAGTTGTGAATCGGGCGCCATTGATGACAGCCTGGGCAACTATAGTTGCGGAGCGCTTAGGATTTGAGAGGGAGGAAGCTCTCAGCATTGGTACGTACCAGCCAGTGAGCATGCTGGATGTACTCAAACGTCACGAAGCTTCCGTTTACACTGAAATGAATGCAATATCAAAGGGGGTCTCCTTAGGTCTCTTTGACAAATCACGCAAGAAAGAGATAGAGCCTATTAAGGGCAGCACACAACCTTATGTCGACTTACTAGGAAGAAGGTATGCCTCGTGGCAGGTCTTGGTGCCTTTTACTGACAGCATAACGTGTCATGATTGTTGACAGGATGTACGTCCACCTGTCTATCTATTTACAAACGTTCTAACGTTCCGCGGCCATTCTGCCAGATCCCTGTATCAGACACAGAACGAGATATGGCGTGCTCTCGACAACACCTCACCGGCTCTCCCCAGCACAGCATTTTCATATATATCTCGTGCGTTTCGACAGACGACTCCGTACGTCATCGGTGCCCTCCGATTGTTGGCCGAAAGCTTCCCACCCCCAGAGCTTAATAACAAAGGTTTCGGATTGTATGCCGAGTTCAGACCTGATGTAGATGGGTGGGGTAAACGTGGCGAGGTGTGCTGCGAACAAATTCTGTCACTCCGCAAGAAGGACAGAAGCACTATCGCTGAGCCTGCTGTGAAAGGTGAAGTTGTAAAGCTGGAAGTCATTCATGATTCGAGAGCAATTGAAGGTCCGGGTGGGTCACAATCTGGTACGTCGGAAGGACCGGAACATAAGAAGGCACGAGCGATGACCCTGGAGGAGTACGAGGCTGCATTAGACCAGGATGACACGTTTGATGATGTAGACCTGAACTTTGAATTTTAATCAGCAATGAACCTGATTCAATTCAGACTGTCACCGCCGCTGAACATCCGCAGAACGCCTCTATATTCGGCAAGTTCCCTTATTTGGAGTATCCAGAACACTGATGCCATCGACCAGTGCATGATTCAGTGCAGTGCGATTTGGATCGGTTTTCATGGTTACATATTTTGACATTATAACCCGATGACCGAGGCGGAGAGCGAGGAGGCGACTAGGAGGCGACTGTTCCCTGGACTGAGGAGAAAGGAGGAATACGGCACGTTGGATTCCGCGTTGAGGGGCGCGCGGTGGCAACCTGGATGGCAGAGGTAAGGTATTTGTTTGTAGCATTTTCCAATTATATTGTGCATTTCCGACTTTTGTGGTGGCGTGCCAACAAAATTTCACCCTCTTATCAACCTCGGATGAGCTATTAGGCTCCCCTGGTCAACCATCTCTCGCAATCAACATCGACATTCTGGGTGTGTTGCCTTGCACAAATATTTTTCTTCTTCTCACCAGCTGCAATAGCAGTGTTTCGACAACCTCAGTACTTGATAGATGCAGTGAATACTTTGCTTCGATGCCTGCATTCCCGTCCAATAGACTGTGCTCCCATGCAGGGGTGAGATTCTTAACCAGTCGTCAGTCAACATAATGACTACCACAGCTGTGAGTTTGTTTTCCAGGAGTGTGTGACCCTCCGAGGCTGATCGCAAACTGTATTTGTCAGGCCATAATTTATGGACGTCGTGCTACATTGGATGAGTGTGATCGTAATTGCAATACCTCCGTGATACCGAGTTGACCGAAACATCACGCAAGTCATCACGATCACACAATCACATGTCATGTATTAACGATCCAGAAAGATCCTTGTGTTTCTCGTTATCGTCTTCCTGGCTTACTGACGAAATGAATAACGCAATAACAATGGGCCATGTTTCAGGCGGTGAGCTCCATAATATATGAAAGACTTAAGTGCATGATGCTCAATAACGAATACCGGATACCAGAGGAGCTTGTTCTCTCCGGCATCTATCTGTGCGCTGTGAGATTCCATGACTCGATATTGTATGGGAAGCAGTCTGGATTGCTGTAAAACACTTCCGTGAATTGCGACGACAATCGACTGGACGGAATATCAGGGATTGTTTCACGGTGTTGATGAAAACTCACGCGGTTTACTTTGTGAGATGTCAGGCTCCTTGGTTTGTCCTTAGTGTTCTCAACGTTTGCCGATCTATGACCATGTCCTCTGCAAGCCATCATGGTATATATTCGTTAGACATTCAGATTTATATCGGTGTTGTTCAAATCTTCTGGCTCGTGCAGATGATCGTGCAGAGACCACGCCTGATCGATATCCTTAGCCTTCGGGAATATCACACCAAGTTCGTGGTCAACTCTAATGCCCATGGCAGAAACCGGCATGACTCCAATTGTTTTCCAGGAGCATGTGCACAATGCACTACGCAGTAATGTGTAGCGCGAGAATGATTGATACAATCAACTCTTGTCAAGCACGTCCTGCAGGGGGCGGGAAATTGGGTTCGAAATTTTATTGAATTCGTGGTATCTGCATATTGTAAGCACAGAGCGTTTGATTCCGCGGAATTCACGTCCACGCCAACATGTGGGTATATGACATTGATTAGTTATCTAATCTTCAGGAAAGAAGAACATATTTCTTCCCAGACGACTTTGAGAATACCAAACCAATAATCAATTCTTGTAGCATCACCAGGCAAACCAAGTCCCCTCGCCGTGCTCAAGCGCTTATGGACAACGAGGTCGCTTGAAGTTGGTGTATCTAACGTATAAATTTATTGGCGCAGCGAGGTATTTGCTGGGGGGATATAGTTCATAGCCTCGACGGTGCCAAGATGTCACGATCTCCAGTCACCAGCAACCGTCATGATCACAGGGAGACAGTCGTCCGTTACTAGGGTGTCTCTTGTGTCCCTGCCAAGAGCCTTGGACAACACTGGCAAAAAAGATTGATAAAACTAAGGGGCCCAACCGGGAATTGAACCCGGGACCACCCGCAACTTCAACACCTTGTGTTGGGGATTGCTCCCGAAGCGGGTATCATACTACTAGACCATTGGGCCTTGAAGAGTGCATCACCATTGACTTATATAATCACAGGGAGAGAGCTCACCATATCCGCGCCCGGAACCATCGTAGTCAGTGGTCACTACGCACATTAATATTGCAGATCGATAACAAGCAGAATATACCAGCCAAGCCTCGAGCTTACACCAATCATTGGGGTATCTTCTAGCTTCATTCTCGGACAACCGGCGCACATTGTACCCTTCTTTCATCTCAAGCGATGACTCGGACGATATGGCAAGCAGCTCAGGATGGAACCTTTCAATCGTGAGGCTCGCTGTGCAAGGAGAGGATGCATACGAAGACCTGGGTCTGAATCCCAGTGTCTGGACGCAGGCCACCACAAGTGAATGACAGGACACGTGGGGCGAGATATGAGAATTATTGGTTATTTTCAGTTGATGCATGCCGGGGATGGAATCGCAGGGACTTGCGCGTGCGTTCGTTAACAGAACCCATGGCCACACAGGACATGCGTGGTCAGGGGCTCACCAAGGTAGTTTCGACTGGAGGTTCCTAGCAGCCTGCGTAATTATCGTCCATCGTCCGCGACAAGCCGAACGTCGCGACTAGAGGAGAACGACAATCAATACACTTGATTAACTGGGGAGCGCATCGATATCGCTCAGCCACTGTTAAAGAAGTCAGCGGTAGAAGACGCAGGTGGGATGCAATCTACCTGACTGGAACATAGGGAAGCGCGGACGACGACATTGGAAGAGCACTGAGTCAACACTGGACTGGGATATAGTGATATCACATTGACAAGCTCAACATTAAATACTGTAACGGCAATGAGTCTGATCCATTAATGCACCATCCATAGCATAAATGAGTGTTTTGAATACCGTATGTGATGGCTACCAAGCCTATCTACATCTAGTGTCACATCTATATAGCATGCCATTAGTCAACCCCGCGTCCTGCACATGTCGCGTAGTACCAAGTTACAAAGACGGCTTAAAGTTTTTTGATGATAGCATTGGTGAATTCCGATGTCGTTGCGGCACCTGCAGACGAAGCAATATGAAAACGAGTCTCAATAGATCACGGGCAATTACTCACCACCCATGTCTGCAGTCCTGACCTCTCCGGCGTTGATGACATCAAAGGTCGCGCTTGCAATACTATTGGCGATGGAATCAAGACTGCGGGAGGAGAGTGTAAGGATTATCAGAACAAGGCTGTGCTGGACAACATACCCAAGATGTCTGAGCATCATGGTGGCACTCAAAATCATAGCGGTAGGGTTGGCACGGTTGGTGCCCATGATATCTGATGCAACGTGTCTACATCCGGGCTCGAAGAGGGCATAGTCCTGAATAGATATCAATACCCTGCGGAACCAAATGCAAGTATGCGACATACACGGCCGATGTTGCATCCTGGAACAATACCAGGACCGCCAACGAGTGCGGCACCAATGTTGGAAATGATGGCACCGTACAAGTTGGGCATGACCATGACATCGAACTGACCAGGTTTGGCCACTAATTGCATGGATCTAGGCGATGTTAGCCGGCTGGAACGGAAAAGGGAGAGACGCCTCACGTGTTGTCGATGATCATATCATTAGACACGATGCCTAGAGATTTGTACTCCTCCGCAATTCGACGGAAGGTGTTCAAGAACAGACCATCACCGAGTTTCATGATGTTGGCCTTGTGCACACAAGTCACTTTCTACAAACGAGCGCTTATCAGTAAAGCACCGGCTGGAAATGAAGTCATAACCGACCTTGCGGTTGTTCTTGAGGGCAAAGTCAAAAGCAAAGCGCGCAATACGCTCCGCCTTGGCCCTTGTAGAGACTTTCAAACTCTCCACCACACCAGGATAACTCTGGTGCTCCAAGCCAGAGTATTCACCCTCGGTGTTTTCACGGATGATAGCAAAATCGACGTTGGAGTGGCGTGTGGGGAATCCAGGGAGAGACTTGCACATCACAACTGATGCGTAAATGTCGAGCTGTTGACGCATGGCCACGTTCCATGAGATATGGCCGGTTTGAGAGATAGGCGTGAAGAGAATACCTATGACGACAAAGATGAATGCTAGTTCTGTGACTCAGTAGGAAAAATGACTTACCCTTGAGACCAACTCTGTTGCGCTTGAGACTTTCCATCGCCTGCTTGAAGAGATCCTCCCCCGCTGAAGATACACCGGAGACATCATACTGCTCCCACTCGATGGGTGCATTTACATGCTCGAAGATCTCTTTGACAGAGTCTGTGATTTCACCGCCAATACCGTCACCGGGTATGAGGGTAACCTAAACACACTCGATACCAGCACCATGTCCAAGGGTAGATTCACGCACCGTATATACGCCACCGTACTTGGTCGGTAGCTGGGATGGATGATACGATAAGTTCGGTGACGCTATTCGCTTGGGCGTGGAACTTACTCTTTGCGTGACTTTTGGAAAACCAGCCGAAAGTGTGGTTACAGTTCGCTTGAAAAAAAAGGTGAACATCACGCCATCTTATAAATTCAGTTACCTACGGAATGCTGAAGAGCAGGGCGGGTCGCCGCCGACAAAGCGTTGCGAAGCATTACTTACAGACGTTGTGGAATGAAGGAAAGAAACGGAGTAGTCGTACAGCTAGCGGAACAGTTGGTTTTAGTTTTAGACATAAATTGTAGGAAAAATATGAGGAGAGCCCGCCGCGCCGTGTAATCGGTTCACTTCATATTATATTTCAATTCCGCACTTTGTCCGTGTCAAAATTGCTCCCATTTCATTCACACTCTCTCTTATTACAGTCCTCCTCCCTCCGTTTCCTTTCCAAAAGGCTCAATGTCTGCCGCCCGTGCTGCTCTCTCTCGTGTTGCTCCTGCTATCGCAAATGTTCGTGCACGTCCTTCATTGGCTCTAAAACGTGCTGCTTTCGCTCGTGGATATGCGACAGCAAGTGAAAACTCGGTAAGAGTTGCACGTCATTCTCATGCATCATGTCAATTCTGAACCATTTGGTAGATGACAGTCCGTGACGCACTCAATGTTGCTATGGAGGAGGAGATGATGCGTGACGAGAACGTCTTCATTCTCGGTGAAGAGGTAGCTCGCTACAATGGCGCCTACAAAGTCTCCAAAGGTCTTCTTGACAAGTTCGGCGAAAAGCGTGTCGTTGACTACTCCCATCACTGAGATGGGTTTCGCCGGTGTTGCTGTCGGTGCTGCACTCGCAGGTTTACGACCAATGTAATGCACTCTTTTCCTTCTGGCGTGTTCTTATCTCATTATTTTGCTTAAAGATGCGAGTTCATGACTTTCAACTTCGCCATGCAAGCCATCGACCAGATCGTCAACTCTGCTGGAAAGACTTACTACATGTCCGGTGGAAATGTACCCTGTCCTGTTGTCTTCCGTGGTCCCAACGGTGCTGCCTCTGGTGTCGCCGCCCAGCACTCCCAGGACTATGCAGCCTGGTATGGCTCAATCCCCGGTCTCAAGGTTGTCAGCCCTTGGAGCGCAGAGGATTGTAAGGGTCTTCTCAAGGTTTTATTTTCCACGGTTTCTTGTACGTATGGCTAACAACTTTATAGGCCGCTATTCGGGATCCTAACCCAGTCGTATTCCTCGAGAATGAGATGATGTACGGTGTGACCTTCCCCATGTCTTCAGAAGCCATGTCAGACAACTTCACTCTTCCTATCGGCAAGGCGAAGGTCGAGCGTGAAGGAACCGATGTCACTATCGTAGCACACAGCAAGATGGTCACTCACAGTCTAGAGGCTGCTGACATGTTAGCGAAGGAGGGCGTCAAGGCTGAGGTTATCAACCTCCGTAGTATTCGTCCTCTGGATATTGACACCATCAAGGCATCAGTCAAGAAGACCAACCGGTCAGGCGGTCATTTAGCCTAATGAATCATTATTCAATCATCTTTTTACAGTCTCCTTATCGTCGAGGGTGGTTTCCCCGCCTTTGGTGTTGGTTCCGAAATCTGCGCACAGATCATCGAGAGCGAGGCCTTTGACTACCTTGACGCTCCGGTTGAGCGGGTAACTGGTGCTGATGTCCCTACGCCTGTACGTGTCAAGACGATGACCGCACACCAATACTAATACCTTTTGTTTTATTTTAGTATGCCATCAACCTGGAGGCACTCGCATTCCCCGACGCACCTCTCATCGTCAAGGTCGCCAAGCGGGCACTTTACAGGACCAACTAGGCACACTTATACTTTTATCGCACGCATTTGCTCTCATACTTACACACTCATGGGCGTTAGTAGTCCTCTGGCCGCAATAGACATATTACCCATCTAAGTTGGACATGGTCAAACCGGCCTCCGTGCCCGGTCCATAAAAGTCGCTCTTTTGCCAAGTCGTGGGGTTGACTGCTCACGCCATGTCACTTGTCAGTGTCATGAATTGTTTAGGGTCCAATTGAATTGCGCTATGTGCTGGGCTTCCGATTTCTTCCTCAGGTGAGAGTGTTCAGTTATAATGTTTCCCATCATTTCTCTTCGGGACCCGCGAGTGCAGGAGGGCATAATGGGAGTCTTACGTAATGACTTCACAGTCTTATGCAATGCCATCGCAGCGTGTGTGTAGTCCAGTATCCTTGAGTCATCAACCAAGTTGTCATAAAAACGCAGGACACGATCTGACGCGCAACCTCATCATCGACAAACCACATGGAACCTATCACACTGCGAAATCCGGAGGATTGCATCGCCGCAGCAAGATGAATCGATTCATTGGAACTCTTCTCATCGCCTACTGGTAGTATGGCAAGCAGAAAAGAATGAAATCTCCAGTTTCTACCAGTCAGATTGTATAATGTCCTTGATTATTGACGGCCCGTCGCGCATTGAGAAGGAAGACTTGAATGGCTGTTGTCGATTCCGCAGTCCATGGCAGGCTAGGTGGAGGCACTAATTATAATGCAATGCACCGAATGCACTCTGTATTGTTACATCGATGTACTGGAGTGACGTGAAGGACACAATGGTCACTAGACGTTGAGCTACAACGGCCAACTCAGGAGTAACACATCGGAATTCCTTTACTCCGTCCGGTTTCGCTTGGCTAATGGCAACAAAATGTTTGCGTGGACACATCTCGAAAACCACTGTCTCGCCCGAACAAGTGTTGCTAAAGTGGGGGGTGTAAGAAGAAATGTAGTTTTGAAACATTAGCTTTCCTCTCATAGGGTCCTGTGGCATGTAGAGGAAGTAGCGTTAACTCAGCAGTGGGACACCACCAGATGCGTAAGTTAGGTTGAATAAACTCCCAGTGAGCTTGAACTATAGGGCCCACGATATGAAGTCAAAGCTTGCGCAGGATACCAACAATCTCGAGCAATTCAAGTTGATGATTTGAAGAACCAACAGCCTCCGCGAGTGACCGGAATTCAGAAGACAACTGGAGACTTCGGCTTGCGCGACATCAAGTGGGACATGGATGGGATCGTTGACACCATGGATAATCGAAGCGTCACAACCGTACTGGCTAGCATCGGCTATGGTGACTGGACCTTCTTCAGCCGTTTTCTGAAGGTCAGAAAACAGTGGAGGCGGGAGAAAACGTGAAAAGTCAGGAAGTGTGCGCCCCATTTCAGTCAGTTTCTGGATTTGTGAGGACTAGTCTTTGGTGGTCCATCAAATGTGTTACGGAGGAGAACGCTGAGTTGCATAAACTCTGCTACCAAAGCTTTGCTGGCGGTACCTGAGGCGGAAGGTTCATCAAGTGGAGTACGGAAGTTTGCCAACTAGGTCAGACCAAGGGGGGTAGCTCTGCAGAGCCGCTCGACAAGTATTTTTCCATGTTGTCTGTCATGCTATTGTACCGGCGAAGTCGAGTTACACGAAGACTTTTAAGGACGTACTAGGGAGCATGAAGCGCTCTGAAGCGCAGAACGATACTGTTATATTATGCGCCTTACTGCCAGCACAAAATTGAGGTAGTAGATTAACTCGGATTTCAATGCGCACGTACATAAAATTCGAGGGCTGAAATAGTAGTAGAAACCTGCTGGTGAGGGCATGATATGGTGAGCGTTGAAGGTGGCGAGTGCTGCAAGCATCCCCGTCACAATAATACGATACACACCAACAGGACGTGATGTCTGAAACACTCCTCGGCACAGCACCGGACTCCTGTCGTGATTCGTGAAGGTGACTTTCGTTGTGGTGTCCCTACAATTATCGTAGTCATTGAGTTATTACATAGGCACGGTTTACCTCCAGTTCGTCCGATTCTCACGATTTGCTAGTGCGTTCGCTTATAAGTTAGAGTTTTAACGTTCACACCGACCTGAGGTCGTATAATATTTTCGAGTCCATCGACCTGACCACCGTGATGGCTAAGAACGACCACGATGAAAAGTCTAGAATCGATGAACTCATCGCCACAATCCGATTTTCTATTGTCATCGAAGAAGGCCCAATAAGCAGACCGCGATCACAACGATCGCGATCGAAGCGGTTGATGGAACGTATGAAGTTTGTACGATCTCATCGACAACAGAAGTCTGTCACTGACAGGCATATTAGTACCATGTACAAACACGACAGTTTTTGGAGAACACCTGATAGAGGCACAAAATACACATAATTTCATAGCATCAACCGTATGATACACACCTGTTACTATTCGCCACCTTCCGGAATTCCCTGGGTATCACTGAGTACTATATACCCAGTCGGATACGAACTGCGTTTGCATGGGCTTGCAGCCCTTCGCAGTCCGCCAAAGTCGCTACGATAGGTCCCAACGTCTGCAGTCCATCCATAGTGACCTCCTGCGATGTTATGTGCTTCTGGAAAGACTGCGTGTTGACGCCGCTGAACTGGCGGGCATATCCATTTGTAGGAAGAGTGTGGTTCGTGCCCGAGGCGTAATCTCCGCAGCTACAATCATAGGATCAATAGAAGGCATATGTCTGATGAAAGAACTACTTACCTTTCTGGAGAGTACGGCCCTACGAAAACGCTGCCTGCATTTTTCACGTGGTCGACCCAAGCTGGTGCGTCCCTCAAGTGTAAAATGAGATGCTCAGGAGCGTAGTCATTTGAAAACTCCATAGCAATGTCTGGCCCTTGTGTTTTTACGATCAAACTTTTTGTCACGCTTTCGCGAACGATGTCGACACGACCCAAGGCATGCGCTTGTTTGTCCACCTCTTCTTCGACTTCCGCGAGCACGGTCTCCGGGAGAGATGAAGCGACCAAGACAACTTGAGAATCGATACCGTGTTCAGCTTGTGAAAGAAGGTCGGCCGCGACAAAAGCAGGGTTACACGTGTCATCTGCTATCACCTTAGGGGGAAGTACCGTATTCGTTAGTCTTCCAAGGACAACGAACACGGTACGTCCGCAGTTGAAAAGCCAGAGCCACTTACCAGTACCTCGGATGGCCCGGCAGGCATATCTATTGACACCAGTGCATCCGTGTCATTTTGTACGAGCATCTTCGCAGCCGTAACCCATTGATTCCCTGGCCCAAAAATCTTGTCGACTTTTGGAACGGTCTCGGTGCCATACGCCAAAGCAGCAACTGCTTGAGCCCCACCAGCTCTGAGGATGGCGTGGGCGCCCACTTTATGAGCAACATAAAGTACCTCCGGGGAGATACTTCCATCAGCCCTGGGTGGCGTAGCCATGACGACTTTTTCACAGCCAGCAACTTGGGCTGGAACGCCTAGCATAAGTGCCGTGGAAGGGAGGACGGCAGTGCCACCTGGCACATAAAGTCCCACCCGTGCGATGGGGCGGGCAAAGCGGGTGCATGTTACCCCTGGCATGGTCTCCACGACAAGTGGAGCACCGTCAATTTGAGCGGCATGGAATTTGTAGACGTTGCTATATGCAGTGTCAATGGCATCGCGCACAGCAGGATCGAGCTGCTGTGCTTCTGGTGCAAGAGGGTAGAATGGTGGAAGGAGAAGTGGGGTGTCCAATTGAACCTTATCAAATTTGGCGGTGAGCTCACGTAGAGCGGAGTCCCCGCGAGCGCGAACATCATCAACTATGGGCTTGACCTTAGCAATCATTTCATCAGACCTGAGGACAGGTCGCTTGAGAAGCTTTGCACGGTCCTCGGGGGATATAGCAGATATATCAACGGTCCGCATTTGGATGGGCCCATTCCGGTCAAGAGGCGCCTTGCTAAAAGGTGCCAACGAAGCTCTAGGCGCTTCCGCCTTGGACAATTCTGCTTTTGGGAACTCAGTTTTGGGAATCCACTGTTGTTTTGCGTTTCCTGGCCTTCGACTGATCTTCATCGCTTTCTTGTCTAGTGAACGCTCAATATGCTTGACGCTCACTCCGGCAGCGACACAGCGTGCCATAGTAAAGTATATGAGATCAGCAGCTTCGAATGCCACTTCCTCCTTCGTCTTTGCACGACACAGTTCATCGGCTTCTTCCATAATCTTTGCCCTCAAAAGTTCCTCGTCATTAAAGAGCCGGCGAGTATATGAACCCTCTGGCGCGTCAACTAAACGTGAGGTCAGAGTACGCTCGAGAGCAGCGAGCCCGTCTAAATCGCCGAAGCACGAAGCGCGGTTAAGGTGACAGAAACCAGCGCCGTGCTGTACCACGCTAAACTCGAGCGCATCGGTATCACAGTCTACGCGGATGCGCACGACATCCTGCGTGGCCCCAGAGGTCTCGCCCTTGCGCCATAGACCGTGTTTTCTGGAGTGATACACGCCTTTGCCTGTGCGAATTGACTCAGCAACCGATTCACAAGACGAATAGACCAGGCCTAGAGAGCGTTTTCCATGGGGATCAGAAGATATTACTGTGGGGAAAAGTCCATCGGAGCGATCCGAAACTATTGGTGCAAGGAATGCATCTGCGATGCTGATCATTTTTTGGGAGGTAGAGCCGAGGGTGAGCTGGGAGAAAGGAATGACCACAGATGCGCCAATGGATATGAGTTTTCTAATGATTGAGGGAGTGGGGAGGTCAGGCGCTAAAACGTGTACTGCTGCACCGACAAAGAAGCGTGATATGGAGTGCACAAGGTCCACATCGAGGCCAAAGCCACTCGAAGAAGTTTTAAGCAAGACGCCAGACACAGCGTTGCGAACGGAGTCGGAGACGGCGCTCACATTAGCAACATCGAGAAGAAGGAGTAACCGATGAGCGGGCACCGTCCCCAGCAGACTTTTGGCAAGAGAAAGAGGCACAATGGCCTTGTCGGCACCGTTATCAAGGAAGGTGATGATTTGATTGACATCAGTGGATGTATCTTCCACAAGAAGATAACGGATTGTGCTTTCTGGGGTCAATCCAGAGGTGATGACTGGGGCGATACGCGAGACCGCGAGGAGGAGCTCCTCGTCGACGTGCTCGCTGTCGAGTAGAGCAAGAAATGGGAACATGACAAAACCTGACGAGCAAGAAGATTGACGATTAGATGGATCATTCTTTGATGACTTCTATTAAACTCGTTGTGTCAGATATATCATAAAAGCCCTGAAATCAACGGTCCAATAGTGTAGCGGTTATCACCCAAGATTCTGAAACACGATTTCTTGTGACCCAGGTTCGATTCCTGGTTGGACCTACATTTTGTTTTTATCAGTCCTGATAAGCACTGCCACCTCGATCCCGAACTCGGACATGCATGGCCCTCTCGGTAACGCCAACGTCACTACGGGCCAGGTCCCGTACATAGTTTTAAAACTTGTTGTGTGAGGTAGGCACATGATGAGGTATAATGGCACGCATGTGCATACCCTCACACAACCTCTCTGAGCTTCATTGAAGAAATCTGCACGTACGCGCCACTCATGCATCATGAGACGGCGCTCACTCAGCGTGGAATATCGATTGCAGTATTTGGATCATTTGAAAACCGAGACGGTAGTGGTCCGGTAGGGCGTTGCCAAACCCTCCACTCCCAGAGTTACTCTCTTGAGAAGACCACTAGGATCGATATGTATGTGCGTATTTGCACTAGTGGTGCACCGTTGGAAGTCTGCACTGGCCTACTATACATAGGATTTCGGTCCTCGAATTTCTATCTCGAGTTTCAGCTAACTGAAGCGGCAACTTCGATCATCACCTAGCCCCCACAAGATGGTCCCTCAGGTGAGGTTGCGCTACAACTGTGGGTCGACTCCATACTCACCTAGTTATCGTCAGAATATACGCATTGACGTTCACCATCATTTCTTTCTCGACGCTCAGAAGAAGGCAAAGAAAAATTTGGAAGTGGGCTGGCGAACACCGGATGAAAATTTACCTTGGAGACCGCAGACTAGTTTGGCTGCCATGGACAAGCTGGGGGTTCAAACAGCGATTCTCTCCCCCCCTCCAATCTCATCCACTTCATATGGAGCAGAAAACCGCGCGCAAGTAAGGCAACAGAATATTTACTCATCGCAATTATGCGCCGCATATCCTAACAGATTCGGATTTCTCGCTGGCCTCCCATTCCTAGATGATATTAAAGGTACCATTTCCTGTAAGGCTTCCTCCCGTGTCGTTCGCCTCATGTCCTTTGCGAAATATTTACAGGTTCGTTAGAGGAGATCGCCTTCTCCCTTGACGTTCTTGGTGCAGATGGAGTGGCTCTGCTATCGAGCTATGGAGATGGCAATTCTGCGAGTACGGCCTTTTGAGTTTCAACGCGTTGCAATCAATGACACGATGATACCCTAGAGTATGTCGCTGACGATTTGTATGATCCTATCTGGAAGGAATTAGACCGAAGACACGCCGTTGTGTTTTTGCATGGTGCTCAGACGCCTTCCTCCACCCCATACCCTCATCCTTGGCTTGGCATACCAATTTCTGAGGTGAGTTCAATGGAATCCAAATGAATGCTCTTGCTCACTCTAAGAAGGTCCCCAACGAGACCTACAAAGCTGCCGCCCATCTGGTGGTTAGCGGAAAGAAACGACGCTTTCATAACGTTAACATAATCCTCACACATCTGGGAGGGAGCACACCATTCCTTGCTCCACGCGTTGCTGCCCTTTCGCATTACATGGGCTGCCCGTTGACGCCGGACGAGATCATAGAAGATTTCAAGAGCTTTTATTACGAGACTGCTCTTAGCGCGCACGAAACGACGCTTACCGCAATGACGACACTCGTACCGTCTGACCGTCTCCTCTTCGGAACTGATTTTCCAGGTACTTGTAGGAGCTGCGCAGTGCATTATACAATTGATAGTGATCCTGTTTTAGCCGTGAGTACCAAGACAGCCGAGTGGTACACAGAGAACCTGGAAAATATTTCGCTGGAAGACCACTGGACCTCGCTAATATCATGCGCGATAATGCTCTTAGACTCTTTCCAAACCTAGGAAAAAGCAAAGACCAGTATCCCGGCGGTGGACACCAGACCAATGATTAACTACACGACGGGCCATAATGCACTGTGAATTTGTGAAAGGAGAGTCCATGCATTGAAGGCCGTACAAAATGATAAAGTATGCAAAAGATCATAATTCGATCTAAGGTAGTAGAAATATAAAGAGAGGTCTATACACCGAGCCTGGGCAAAAACATCAACCCTGTCACGAATGAACAAAAGCCAAAAAAAAACGTACCTTCGCTTGCTATGTTCATAGACAAGGTATGATATAGAGACTGAAGGAATGACCTATGACAGTGATTAGCGTGGCGGGTATGCCATAACTCGCGATAGTATACCTTCGCTAATGTTGGGAATAGTCCGCGATAAAATCCTCTCCACCCATCCCGTTGATATGTCCTGGTCACTACATCCCAAGGACCCTTATAGCGCTGCGGATGTCCCGATGAACCTGACGCCTGTAACCGCGTCCGTACCAGATTCAATGGATACACGCTCGTGGCGCCTACGCTCCCGGACACGCTCCCAAAGGCAAGAAGAGCAAGCACACCAGGCTCGTCTTTCCCAGTCGATCGCAGATATGCCAACTTTAATGCCTCAAAGGTGCTCATATCAATCGCAGAGTATCTGTGATTCGATTAATGGCATAACATTATGAAGGCATCAACATACTCACGGGAAAACTCCAATGAGACCGATCTTGTCTCTGGTTAGATGGAAGGCAAGGACACCAACAACGCAAGACGAACCGTCAAACCGCGGTAGAAGGCTCGAAAGCGGCCAAGTTGCCACACTCTCCGGGCAGCATCCACGAGGCTTCGTTTCTGGTCGCCTGTCGAACTCATCATTTGTGTCTGTAAGGCACATGCTCATTATATTGTCAATCTGGGAACTCCGTTGCTCCATACCTTCAATGTCTCGATTGGGTATATACCTTTATGGTGATAAGATGAGGGAACGAACAGAAGGGAAGCCATGTTACTCACTAAGCTGGCTTGAAATTCCGCCAAGACCTCCAGAGAGGAAGCGGCTCGTCCCGCTAATGTCCCTCGTGTCCTCCACACGATCCCAATATTGTGCGAAAGCTCGTTTCTGCAAAATATAATGTCCAGATAGAGCGGAAGCCAGAAGAAGGTACACACAGCTGATTCATACGTCAAGAATTTGATAGCCGATTCAGGGAATATCTTCAGTACAGAAAGGCCATTACCCGTCCAGAACGCAAGTACACCGCCTTCGGAATAGATGCGCGCAACTGCGCCTGCGATCGCTTTTAATCCTCCCATCCCTGGCCTAGGTTGGATCGCAGTTCCGCCCATCTCAGGAGGGCGAGTGATAAGAAAAATTTTCACCCGATCAAAAGGTGCTGTACATGTCCGTGACACTTTGGGGAATGTCAACTCACGGCGAACTCAAGAGTTACGGTCGCGTACCAGCTCCTGCCATTCCACCAGCCATGAGAAACTTGAAGGCAGTATGACCCTGCAACCAATCATGGTGTTCCTCTATCTCCTCTTCCTCGAATTCGTCATCTCCGATCACATCAGCACTTTCCCACAGTGATGGTAGAGGCGGGGGCTTGTCTTCCGCACTGAGACTGACATCACCTGAAAGTAATATTCATGCTTCAAATCATTGGCGGGGATGAAATGGCAAACCTTCCATTGTTACCCGTACCGCTCCCCTTCCATCATCTCCCATAAACCTCTTAACTTCGTAGTATTGGTATATCTCGGCTGCAGATGCCTTTCGAGGCAATAATAACAAGAAATCCCTGAACTCCCGAAAGCTGACACTATGTGAATGTGGCGACCAAGTCAGATACGTTATGAAATCAGTTAGTGTGGAGGGCGGAAGTGATATCCCTGGAAGATCATAAGGGCAAGCCATGCAAGATTATATCAAACTCACCGGCTTTGCTCAATGCTAATGCTAATTCCTGCTCATCGAGGTGGCCATTGCCGTCAAGATCCAGCTCCTCGTGGAATATCGACCATAGTTCTAAACCGTCATCTTAAGATATACCCAGCACATAAGACAAAGCACTCACCAGCTTCCTTAGTCTCAGCATACCGTCTGAACTCAGGCCACCTAATATGACTAGGCCGTTCATTCGTTATGTGACCTCCACACTTCCCAAGTAGCTCATCCTCATACGCCTTCCTCATTTCCTCTGCTCTCTGTGCCATCAGCGGCTGTCCAGCAGGAAATATTCTCGACGCAGCTACTTCTGATCCATGATGGCTCGAATTGGGCAGGCGCTTCCATAGTTCGTGCAGGCGCCTCTCCCGCTCCTCCTTCCCTTCTTGCTTTCGAAACTCGAGAAGACTATGCGGAAGTGGATGAAAGGAAGGAGGGTCGGACCTCAGTCGCGGAATAAACGGCCGATCTTGAGCACCGGAGAGACAGGACTCATAAAGTTCGCGGCTCGTGGGGTGTTTTTCTAGAGCGTCCGCCATGAGCTCAAGCCGGGCGAGATGGATAGATTGTGGTGCCCGGTTACGATAATCAGTGTAGGATTCATAGAGACATTCTACACGTTTTTGAAACGTTCAGCTGGCGTACTGATAGTATAGACCAATAGAAAACTTGACGGAGTTCTGTTTACCACTGCTTGCCGAACCAAAACGGTCATGTTCCCAGTCACTGGCAGATTCCGTCAAACAACTAGGCCTTGCAAACCAGTCGTGAAAAATGTGCTGCATAGTGTCTTTACAGAGAAAGTGGTAGTGTAAGAACAAACAAATGCGAAGTACAGTGGAGTTACAGTAAAATAGTTTCATTATTCATCAGAGTCCCAATAAACATAACAAATGCACGAACTTCGAAGCCGCTGCATTACAGACAACATAGGCCAGACATGAAACGCTTGAAGCCACTTGCGATCGACTGCCACCAGCTGCGTTTTGCGCGACTAGCAGAATCTCGATCAAGGAGGGCAGCAGGAAACTCGGAGGCATCACCGGGAGCCTCTATCTTAGTAATCAGTCCTTGAGCAGAGGGAGTCGCAGTACCCTCGGTCCATTTGTCAGAATTAAGAGTGAAATTAAGAGTCGAGTTGAGAGTAGAAGGACGCCTATCGTGACCAGGAGAGTACGTGGGAGGTTGAGAAGACTTATCATGCCCAGCATGATTCGAAGGAGAGGAAACATCACAGTGAGTCAGCACGCTTGCAGGAGGTGTCGGCAGCGAGGGCTTGGGAGGTAGAGGCGGAGGTCCCGACTTCTCAATCAAGATCGACGGAGCCGCGTCATGGTCAGTTTCACGGGAAACCAAAGGTAGTGTGGAGTGGGGTGCCTTGCGCCAGTTGTCAACCCAAAGCACTTATTCGAAGGTAAGGCACATTATACATACTAGCTGCGATGTAATGGTAGGTGTTGGCGAATCACATCCAGATCCAATTGATCTGGGCCTTTTGCGCTGGTTGGGGATTGGGGGCGTTGGTGGGCGATATTCCTATAGATTATGAAGACTCGATCTGGAGATATTTTAAGACTACACGCACCTCTTGATAAGATGGCTGCCGTGCTGTGGAGCGCGTTAGGTGTTCCCAAGGCGTGGGTGAACTTGGACGAGACACGGGTTCCTCGTCGTGGCAGCTCTCAGTAGGTGTAGGAGGGGTAAAGTTCATAGTTCCTGATGTCCCCCAATCCTATGATATGTGAGTGAAATTCGGATTCCTTGATTGCCAAGGATTAGCGTACAGGCGTTGAAGGTGACAGCCTTTCTGTGGATAATTCGGTATCGGTCCCATGAGCGTCGTGGCTCGATGGGCCGACGACAGTGTCAATAGCAGGCAGGCCAGACGTCGCCCTTCCCTCCCTAAATACCGCCCGGTCAATTGCGTTACGCCAGTCGGGGGGTAGCTTGAATAAATCCGTGGATATTCAGCTCTTTTAACGGGGCACGTGTGTGTGTACTTACAGGAGGAGCATCCTGATTTATAGACGCATGTGAAAAAGAAAACCGTCCTTGTGGAGCTCGTCGGCGAACCATGAGGAGAAGCAGGAGGCGAGGGGATAAATTTTGGGACGGGCTTCCTATAACTCGAAGTTCGGCTGGCTAGCTTCGGTGCCGACATTGTGACAGGATAGAAAAATGTGGTGGAAGACGGAGACTTATGTGCGACGACCTCTTAAGCCGAGGCGTATGTGGCACCAATAATACCACAATTATGGATTGTTGCTTTCCGTGGGTCAAAGATCAAAGCAGTCGTATAACAATTAAAGAAAATAATGATGAAAGAGAGAAAGGACCGAACTTCATATATAGAAACGCCTCGAGTTTATCCCGAGGCGGAAGTCATTAAAGCTTGGGAAACTTCCTCTCTCTCGTCAGCAGCCACGCTTTGGACGTACAGAAGGCTCACCTCATGTATACCGCACGTGTGGCTGCGTTTGACTGGCTACAGTCACAATGAGACAACCGATCGCGACGAGCGCGAATCCTGACACACAGGTCAGAGGGGAGTTCCAGTTGCAAAATTGTTTGCCACCGGCATTTATTGATTAGTCGAGGACAAAGAACGATTTCCGCAGCCGTAAAGTCTTCATAACACAATTCATAAACTTGTGATACTCACGTACCTGATCTCCAAGGATAACTCCGAGTTTGTAACTTAGTAGGCTGGGAGGAGTCTGGAGGAGCACACCCTGTGCATTTCGGAGTTAGTCCACCCCAATTATGGCACGTCCAATGTAATGAAACCTTCACTCAATTGAACTTTGACTCCGCACTTCGTAAAATTTCCCGATGTGCTTGACATCATACCCGATAAGCACAACGATATATATATCACGATGATCAATGGAGCACAAGCTCCGTCAACATTTCTCGGCGCTCAAATTGCGCTGTGAAGTAAAATAGAAAAGTCGGCAAACAGTGACCACCCTAATAGTAAGGCATAATGCCATTGGATCAAGAAGACGAATAACTATATGTCAGTGAATTGCGTAGCGTGTATGCGATTGAATTGATGTACGAGGTACAAGTTAGGTCATTAAATGGCGTTACTTGATGAATAGACAGATGGAAGCAATGCGTTAGTCGAAGTCGAAGGACGTATTGAGGGTGGGTAAAGATGAATCAAGGGTATCAAGGTGATGCTTAATGGAGTCCAAGCCAGATGATAACGCGTTCTTGTCGTGGGATTATAATTGTCGTTGCAGGCAAGATGGACGCAATCTCCCGGCTCCCGGATCCCGTCGTGAATAGATGAAGTCATAATCGATATGATATGAAGCGCGGCAGACTCCTCAAGGAAGACTAGACTTCTCTTGAATGAGAGCTTCCAGCAGCTGGTGCTCCTCACGTTGCGTACGTGAGTTCGAAGATAACCGAACCTTCCATTCCTGCACCCATGTCCATCTCGAGACACGTTCTTCTTGAGTAAGGCTTGATCTATTAGATTGTGGCGAGGAAGATGCCGAGATCAAAGAACGAAGCCGCTCGCGACCGAGGATAGGTGCCAATGAGAGGAACGACAAAAAGGCGAGTTTGACAAGAATGTCTGGTGATGTCAGCAGTGACGATACTGTTTGCTGAGATGGCGAGGTCGTGGATGCAACGGTTTGGAGAATATCACCGATCTGACGTCAATGGTCATTTGGGCACTCCAAGCTCAGCAAATCACAATCCTACCTGACAAGTGACCGCCGTCCAAGGGAGGCACCCAATGAAGGCACCGAGGAGGCAATCGGAGATCGCAACACCGCACACACCACAAGCGATGTTAATTCCCGACCAAGGCACTACGCCAACGAGGCGGAGGACGGACAACCGTGCCCAGGTCGGCGAATTTGAATTTTTTCCGGTGGACAAATTAGATTCTCCCTCGAGAGCAATACGGGTTACTTGGAGTGCACGGGGGAATAGGCGCGATAGAGATGGTGCTAAAGGTACACACAAAAGAGTTGCAAAGATAGAACCCAGTGTAGTCAATGCAGAGAGGAGCAACGTTGCAAAAACAGGATGAAACAGAGCCCCCGCTAACATATTCTATTTTTTAAGAAAAAAGGATCCAGGTAAATCTATGAACTAAAAATAAGACAACATGAAGTTTGCTCACCCAAATGACGCTGCCTGGGATCGACCAAGCATGCTTCCATACAGCAGTTACAGACAAGACGCCGATGACGTGAGCTAAATGTAGCGGACCACTTTGTGAATACGCATGCAGCTCACGGCCTAGCGCCGCAAGCTCGGGTAGCGTTCTCGGGAAAGCAACGGAAATGGGTAAGGAATAAAGCGACAATAGTACGACCGCCGTTGTTAGCGGGAAGAGCAGCATCACCAGCAGTATAGGAGCGTGCACCTAGAATAGTAAAGATCAGATTGACTAGGGTGGGAAGGGGTGTAGAACGAACCGACGGAGGGCGCCACCAACGAGCATGCATGCGAGGTGCATCCTGGTCGTTAAAAATGTCACCAAATGTTGTCTGCTGCGAGGATGCAGATATTGGTAAGACAAATTCGTCCTGCACGGTAGACTGCGGAGACGAAGGAGTAGACCAGTTTATAGAGTGAGCTGTGGGCACGTGCAAGAGATCTAAACAAGTGGAAGCGATCACTGCGAACATGGAGGGTTTCTGGTCCGGTTCAGGTGAGGCAAGTAATTGAGAGGGTTTAAGATGTGAGCTATCCACAGATGGTGTGGATGGTTCGGATTTCTGTATAGGGAGAACGAGTGAAGAAGAGCGACGCCTTCCCAACGTGTTTATGGTGAGTGCAGGACGTATGTTAGTTGAAGAAGCACGACTACGATTAGGCGGTGGTACAGCCAAGGACATCACTGCAGTTGAGTAAAAGTGAAAAATTGGAAAGGGTGTTTGGAGTGAGTTGAAAAAAAGTACGTAAAGTAGTCTGACGCAAACGCTCGTCGCTCAAAGCTCCGATCGGTATATGAGCAATCTCCGAAATCAGTCGGTGATTGGGTTTTATTCACTAAACTACATAGTACTATCGTACAGACAGACGTCGGCAGGCAAGACGCAAGCACACCGGACATAGCATCATCTACTGACAAAGACTGACTTACTCATCCGACCTGTCGGACTAATCCAAGACATCGTGACAAATCATCGGCCTCCGTGTCAACTGACAGTCGCGTGCATAGATCTGAGTCATAGCATAACATGGAATTGTAGCAGGCATAGTATAATGACCCCTCAATGCGCTCTCCTGCTTTCCTGGATAATGTTACCGAGCTCCTCCAACTTGCGCTTTGCGCGAAGGAGTGTACCAAGCTAATAATCGCCATCAGTTAGACATCCAAATGAATACACTATGATACCCACTCGTTTCTTCGTCAATTTTCTTGCCTTCTTATCCTAGATATTCATCACGTATGTAAGAAACTTGATTGGCACACGATAGGATCAACGCACCTTGGCGTTTCTCAACAACTCAAGTACCCGACGCTCGTATGGCGCAAAGCCAGAAACTTCCCGCACGACAGACCGTACGAACTTGTTTTTTGTTGATTGAATGCCCTTGCGGTGACTGGGGCGCGTGGTCTTAGGAATGGCGGTGGTAGGATAGCCCTTGTTTAGGCCCTGGCACATGTCTATATTGACATTCGCGATGAACGGTGCGAAACATTCAAGCAAGTCACTCACTGCTTCGTGCCATTTTCTTGACGAGATCTTGAGGATGTGCGGTTGTTGCTGGCGTTCAAGTCTGCCTCTTTCCAGGAGTCACGTGTGCTGTATTGTGGCTGATGGTACTGTACAGTTTCTTTTCCAATATATTCCCACAACCTTGACATACATAAAGATTAGAACAAGTCAAAGACGTTGTGTATGCAGTGTTGTACACTATTATGTGATCTATGCTGTGATTGCAGTCATGGATGCGCAAATAAGACATTTGAAACCTAGATAATCTGTGCGGCAAAGTGTCATGAGCCCGCTCTGTGCCACAACACTCGTCTCAGTATTGCCGCACGACTTTCACCCTTCCTGTGGCGCGCCCCGAGGTAACCACGTTGTCTTCTATATGAGGCACTGCAATGGATGTCGGCGATGTCCGCGCGGAAGAGGGGAGGTGGATGGGTGTAGGTGGCCGAGGCGAATCGGCGTATTGCTCACCTCGGATTAGGTGCCTCCGCGAGCCTCCTTCCTCATCATCCTCTTCCTCCTCCTCTTCCTCCCCCTCTTCATCGTCTTCAACAGTTTCCTGTAAGAGGTAAAGCAGTTTGCATAAGTGAACATGTCTTCGCGCTGAGATTATATATCCCTACCGCATCAAAGTCCTCCATTAGCCGATCATCCTCATCAATGTCCTCCTCCTCGTCATACTCCTCATCATCTAACCACCGACCTCTCCAGTCCACCATATCCAATTCCTCTGGGCTCTCCGGTCTTACCCGCAACCATTGCATCCGGGGTCCAGTCTTGGCTCGTTCACTAACTTTGAAGCCATATATTCGTGGTTGATAAAGGTGGCCTGCAGGGCGTTTCTGCCCCCCATGCGGATTTGGATTGACAAAGGGTGAAGGTCGCGAGGAACTACTACCCGAGCCACTGTGTGGCGAGCGCCCGGGAGACATGGATGATCCCGGCGAAGACGAAGGTTTGTAGAACGGCGCTGGGGCAAGTTCGCGGTAACTCTGGAAAAATAGGTGCGCAAATGTCGTTCCAAAGAAGGCCCCTACATCCCTCAAGATCTTGGTGAGAAGTACTAACGGTCAGCAGAGACACAGCTCACACACCATCGACCCCTTGGAAACGACTGCTTGGTGGTGCATAGATATCATTGCAATTGGGACAGAAAAGTTTGACAGTGTCGAGGCCGGGAAGATCAGAACGACCGGAAGGAACAACATTGCAACCCATGCAATATACACGCGGGCAGACGCCAAAGAGGGCATTTTCATACTTATCAACCTGTGAGAAAGAATGATCGACTCGATCAAGTGTGTTAATGCACGATATGCTTGACTCACCATTGCTTGCAATCCAGCACGCGTCAGTATGTAACGCTGATGTACTAGACCATACAATAATTCAGCTGATGCTTCGACGATTGACACGTCGGGTATTTTTGACGAATCTTCGTCTCGGAGCGAATAAGATCGTAACGCCACAGAATGAAATAAGGCGACGTACCAGGCTCCACGTCCAACACCATCTCCATTGCCTCCTTCCAGAAAGGCACCATGGCATTCAAGCCGGTGAGGTTGAAATCATCCTCGATAAAATCTTCCGAGACTTCACAGAAGTACTCGTGCCCAGGCAGGGAGCAAAACCAGCTAATCCATGTAAGGGTAGATGTAGGAGTAGATGATGCTGAAACGAGCAATTAGCAAGCTCTCGATAAATTTCCCCGTCTCCAAAAAAACGCGCAAAGAAAGTTACAGCTTATGAAGTCCGGAATGAAAGATAGGTTGATACGCACTGTAACCTTCCTCAACTTCCTCCATGACCTCGTCGCCCTCACCAATACCACTAATGGCCTCTTCCTCCTCAAGCTCAACCTGCTCCTCCTCAAGCTCGGGTGGACGGGACATAACGTTCACACTTTAAGTCAGACGGGCTGACGGGCTGTGGGTCTGCATCCTGTTTCTCGAGAAGTTCCAGATCTGTATTCAAACTCCGCTTTCGTGTTCACAGCTGCAACGCTTCGATCACAGCAGACTTCAGCAAGATTTTAGGCCACAGGGAACACCTACAGACCTCGGAGCACATCGAACACATGAACCCTCTTCCTAGCACATTTGTATGTAATACTTGGCTCTATTTGCAACTCACGACGTCTGGAAACTGCATGTCATCTGTTCTTCTACATGGCCACTCCAAAATGAAGATCCCATGATAACCAACAGTAATAATTGCCCAGTGATCCAACTGATGATGGTATATGAAACAGCCTTCCATCCTGGCAATGCGCCAATCTCTGCAGCAAAGGTGCTGATTGTCGTTAGACAACCGCAATACCCGTCTCCTAATCCCTGAAGCAACGAGCAAGCATTTGGGGAAACTGCAGATGGGAAGCCTTGGAGTACATGGAAAAAACCTAGGAGAGCGGTCCCAAGTGAGTTCGCCATGAAAGTTCCAAGAGGCATAGTCTTCAAGCGGGGATTCAAATTTATGGACAGAAGATACCGAGTTAATGTGCCAGGGAAGGAAAATAGGAGAGCAGCGGTCGCTTGATGGCGGAAATTGTGTGGCAGAAAGAAGTACGCTGGAAGGGTCGCTGCGTATGTGAGGATCGCAAGGATGGTAAGCGTGTACCGGACAATTTTGCTTGGCGGTCGAGGGGCCGGTACGTACGGTTGAGCTACTCCACAGATATATATTCCGAATTTCAATGACGCCACCGACAACACGAGGGTGACCCAAGTCTTCGTAAAACCGTCCATAAACTGTCAAACGTAAAAGAAATACGCCATCATGATTTGAACCGCAAAAAAATAAGGGTCCGCTCACATCTCGAAGTCCGCCTCTGTAGAACTGACCACTATTCACCCACGAGTCAAAGATATCCACCTGCCACCCAGAAAATGTTGTTAATGATCCACAGAACCCTGTAGCAGGTTAATGGGTATTATGTTCCGCTACCAGAGGTACTGACCAGTGGTCAAGGCCGTGTATAACGGACCATAGCTGCGGAGAGGTATGAAAGGCTAGAGGTTATGTGAAGAGAGAAGGCACACATACAAATTACCAAATGGCACTTTCATTCTTAACCCAACGCCCATGATAAAGCACCCTGTGGCCTGGACGTAAGCCAATGGGAAAATACTTTCCCCATTGTACGTTGTAAGCGCTTGCAAGCCAAGCCGTGCGAGGACTCCGAATATTGACGCAGGCATGAGGAGGGCTAGTACATGGATTGATAGGGGGTGATAGATCTTTACAGGTGGAAGTTCTTCGACTTCAGATGGAGGACGATCGATGCTAGCGAGAGAGTTTGCGTCGTCTATGGTTTGATGATTAGCGAGAATGGACCCTACATCAGGGCGCTGTTGTGATTCATAGTCCAAAGGCATCAGCGAGCTCTTCTCGGTGGCTATAGGTGTGATGGTCAACTTCAGTTTGCAGGAGAAAGGGATTTGTAGCTACGGCTGCGTGAAAATCTCCTCCAGAAATTGTTCCCTGATGCAATTTACTTGAAATCAGGGTGCTCAGGAGTCAGCGCTGGTACTTACTAGTTATATAGGTGATGGAATCACTGACCCGCAGGTCGACTCGTTGTGCTTGCGATCAAATTGCACTAGTCAGGTAAGTCGGACAGTCTCGGACCCAACTGTGATTACCAATTTTGAATTCTAATGATTTCATCCCAACCCTTCAAATCCTAACTTTGAATTTGATTAATTCCGGAAAGTGTATATGTCAGGTACCATCCGCTTGAACTAACTAGAAGGTTTTATTCGACAACCTCAGCACGCTTGTTTATATGCTGTTCTGCCCGACATGTGCTAATCTGCTCGTCATATCCTCGGAAACAGGGTACAATAAATGGGCGTGCAATTCGTGTCCATACGAGTTTCCGATTTCGAAGCAGGTGTGTACTCGAATCATTTTAAAATCATCTTGCGGCCCTTTATAACAGTCCCTTTATGACCGCGTTGTAGATGACTTCCCGCTCGCGTATGAAACGCAAGGAAGTAGACGATGTGCTCGGAGGAGAGGAAACGTGGCGAGATGCTGATTCTACTGCGAGTTAGTTACTTATTTTTTTCATGATGCAGGAAGTGGGAATGTTGATCCACAACCCATAGTCACTTGTGACAAGTGCAGTCATCCCCGCGCATATTTCTATCAGTTGCAGATCCGATCTGCGGATGAGCCCATGACGACATGTATGTGCTTCATCTCAACTGAATTTGTGAAACTTGGCGCTGATCCATTGCTTCGTGGGATCAGTTTACAGGTCAGTGTTAGTACTGGCATCTATGATAGCCAGTTTGATGATCGAATTCCAGATGCGCCGGGTGTGCCTATCAATGGCGCGAAAATTAATACTTTTCTTTCAAAATGGGCGCCGAGATGCTTACTGGCACTTTACGGTTCTGCTATGTACATCAAAATGTTCTTGCCAAGCCTCCGGCATCCCCAGTCACGTCGGAGCCCCGCCCATACTCCCATCTTTGATTTCAATTTATGTTCACGAGTGTGTAACATATGAGCTTGCAAATACCGCAGTGTGAGGATTTACCCACTAGTTCACCTTCCCTGCTAGTCAATTTAGAAACATATACCAGCACTGACACCCCCACCTCCGAATTATTGCACCTGGGATTTTAGTGTGGCACAGTGCTCGCTTCATCCCAGGCCTGCCACGGTTGTTCACGCTAACAACACGCTCGCCCGTTCCTACCAAAATCTCCCCCAAGCCCACCACCTGAAAGCCCGGCGCATCATCATGTTTCAAATTTTCGCCCTTCCGGCAGCCGATGGCTGTCATCATGCCAACTTAAGCATGGTGAACGAATACTACTGCGACCGCTGGAATAGGTGAGAAACTTACCACTGGCGGCCGCGAGTGACGACGGCAGGCTTTCCACTTTGTCTGACAGAAGTGGGAAGGCTGTACGTCGTAGGCCGCCGCATCCTCCTATATCTATGAATATCATAAATCGCTTTAATGATCTGGAAATCGATGGAGTAGTCGGTGTATGTCTGTCTGAAATTCACGAGGCCTACATAGTACAAGTTAAACATGGCAGGTCAAATAGATAGTCACCGCCAGTCGGGTTACAATCGTGACACGATGCGGTAGTGCTTACTTCCCGTGAAGTGAGTTGAACCAAACGAAGTACGTCCAAAGCCGACCAATTTTTAGATCCAGACTTAAGTTGGTGTGATACAGTGTGCTTTCATGTGAAAGCGAACGAAAAGGCACAAGTCCGAGTCTATTGCGCTCGTCGTCCGGACTCCGGATCCATCCGGTGCTTCTGTTGTTCCTAGAATAGAACTCGTCTGCAAGGCTTTTTCATCCAGATACACTTGACTTTTTCCAAACAAAAATGTTAGCTCATCGGTCGGTCGTTGGTGTTGTTGCGCAGAGCACATTCAGGTCCGCTCAGGTTGTCCGATTTGTATTTTCTGGTTATTCGGGTTGGCGCTTACGTTTACGTTGTAGCCTTTCAGGCGGTATGCTTCTGCCTCCCCGACTGCTGCTTTTGCTGGTCACAAGGGTAGCAACGTGAGTCTTGCAATAATACAATCTTCATGTCATAGCCCTTACCCAGTTGGCAGGGTAAATACACCGTGACTTTGATTCCTGGAGACGGTCAGGTTGCTCGTCCAGTGGAGATTCAGTTGTTTGACGTCAGAATTTAGGTATTGGCCCAGAGATCAGCGAATCAGTCAAAAACATATACGCTGCTGCAAACGTTTGTTTGTGGTCTCATTTGAGATGAATGCGACTTATAAGTTCAATAGGTTCCCATCGAATGGGAGGAAGTCAGCGTCACTCCCGTCCTTAAAGGTGGGAAAACGGTTATCCCGGATGCTGCCATCAATTCTGTAAAGAAGAACACTGTTGCTCTGAAAGGTGCGTCTGATTATGGCTGGAAAGAAGCGAAACACTAAATCCTATTCTCAGGACCGCTGGCAACTCCAAGTACGCCCCATTTTTACTGTGATTCACATGTATGCTGAGCGTCCTCAAGTTGGAAAGGGCCACGTCTCTTTGAACTTGACTCTGCGTCGGACGTTTAACCTCTTCGCGAACGTTCGTCCGTGTGTTTCGATCAAGGGCTTTAAGACTCCTTATGACAACGTTAACACCGTTCTGATTCGGGAAAACACCGAGGGAGAGTACTCGGGTATTGAGCACGAGGTAGGGTTCGTCCTATGATGCATGAGTATCACTTACGTGGGGTCCCAGATCGTGGATGGGGTGGTCCAATCCATCAAACTCATCACATGGGATGCCTCCGAGCGCGTTGCTCGTTATGCCTTTCATTATGCACAAGCTAGCGGAAGGAAGCGAGTCACGGCTGTCCATAAGGCCAATATCATGTGAGTGGTATCTTAGTCAAGAATTACGCATGAATACTGATTGAAGACAGGAAAATGTCGGATGGCATGTTTTTGTCCGCATGTCGGCAAGTTTCGAAAGACTTCCCGGGTATCGCCTATGATGAAGACCTTTTGGATCGTGTCTGTTTACAGGTAAATCCACACGAGGCCGATATAGCGATGAGCACAGCTGAGGACGTCTTCTAGATCGTACAGAATCCCCAACCTTACTCCAACCGGGTCATGGTGATGCCCAATCTCTATGGCGATATCTTGTCGGACATGTGCGCTGGATTGATTGGTGGCCTCGGCTTGACACCGTCTGGCAACATTGGTCGTGTAGGTCGCATTGCCCTTTGAGCGGCTCAAGCTGAAGCCTTCTATCCTCTTCCGTAGGATGCATCGATTTTCGAAGCCGTGCACGGATCGGCTCCCGATATTGCAGGTACAGCTCATCTTCACTTTAGGTATATAACCAATACCGAGATGGTCAAATATAGGGAAGGGATTAGCTAATCCTACTGCTCTTCTTCTATCTTCTCTCATGATGCTGAGGTACGTGAACCTCGGGAACTCTCGTTGGCTTCTAGGCTGATCCGGGATACCTTGTATAGACACATGAACCTGAATGAGCATGCCGCCAAGATCGAAGAGGCTGCTCTTAGTGTAAGGAAATTTTTTCTATTACGCGTATGTTGTGTTTCTTACGATGCGCACATTATAGACGATCGCGGAAGGTAAGACGATTACGGGGGATCTGGGTGGAAAGGCCTCGACCATGGAATACACGAGTGCGATCATCAACAAGCTCGCGAAGGCATGATCGTTCCCGTAGAGGGGCTGTGAGATTTATAGACAGATAGACCGTATTTCTACCAATACCAGATAATTGGGATCGGCTCCAATCTGCTTCGGTCCCTTGCGTCCGCTACCGACTTGGGTTGCGTGAGAAATAGTAGCCTGCGGATGTGATAGGAAAATGAACTCAGTCAAAGTTGACCTACGACGACCAGCTTTAAGATCCCTTCCACGCCTATACACGGCATTCACTCTTCATAATCCCTCACTCGCCCTACAGGGCAAAGACAACATAATTTTCACATTCCTGCTTGACAAGGTCAGCTTTTCAGGGCTAACCTTGTGCAACTGATGAACGTTTAGTCAGATAACTCTAGTTCACATTCTTCCAGAAAACAGATAATCCAAAAAACGTTGGACACCCTGTAATAGTTTCCTGCCTCCGTACGATACGAACGAAATGACCGACGAATTCACTCAAACACATAACCTGCCGAAGAAGGATGAAAAGAGGCCCCCTTCTGTACCAAACAGAAGTTCGAAGAGAACTTCATCTAATGCTAGACCTTCTTCCGCAGCCGGAAACCTCCAAGGTGCCCCAAGGCCTTCCTCTAGATCTGGTAACAAGAAACCTCAAACAGGGATGTCTACTGCTGGCGGTACTGAGTCTGGTTCAGACACCAACAGGAAAGCTCCTGAGCCTAAGAAAGCCGAACCTCGTAGCAAGAGCCAGACCGGTGGTGCCACACGAAACGGTAATCCCCGCAAAGGTCAACCTTCTGCATCTCAGGGTACACGCGGCATAACCGGCCATTCCTCTTCGCCTGCACCCCCTTCCGCATCAGAATCAAGTGATGCTTTGTCCTCTTTACAGAGAGTCATCGCAGACCTGAAGACAACTTCGCCTCCAAATCAATCATCCTCTCCTGGCATCAATAATTCGCTCGCTGCTTCTATGCACGCCCCGCAAGCACAGCCTTCAAACCTTCCAGCCAATGCACCAGTGTTCCAGCCAGGTGCTTCTTCTTTCCCTGGGTCCAACCTCGCAGATGCCGTTAGGCACCGCAAAGCTGTATCGCTGGGCACCACTGGTGTTCCCGGTAACTATAACTCCTTCTCGCCTCACCTGGGTGCGATGATGGAAGATGCCGAAGATGGTACCGGAGCTTCATTCGAAGACGGCGAAATCCCTGAGCACTTCTACCAGCATCAACAAGGGCACCAGCCTCGCTCTCAGTCTCAAAGTTTCATGGCTCCTCGCTTCGCCGCTCTCGCAGCACAAGAACAAGATGTTCTTGGACCCACTGGTCGTCCGCAGCTTGCCCCTGGTTTCATGTTTGGAGCGCGTAGGAGAACTGGCTCTAATGTTCCCGTTGGTCCGTCTATCAACGAGGAAGATGTTAGATTCCAGTTCCCCCAGCAACAACCCAACTTTCCTCCGGATGAACAACCCCATAGGAAGCCTGAAGGTGACTTCACAGGGATTATGGCTGAACAGGTATGTGGCCAATCGTGTTGCATGCTTTGTGTCACTGAAATTATTATAGATTGCCCTCCAGAACCAGATTGAGGCGCTTCAGCAACAACAACAAGCTTTGTACCAGCAACAGCTCGCTTCGAACCAGGTCCTTTCGCTGCAAACTCCAGGATTGGTCCCAAACAGGCACAGGCGTGTCCAAAGCACATTACCGACCAATATGGGTGGAAATTTAAGTGTCAACGCTTTCAATTCCCCTATGGGCCAATTTGGTGGCATGGCCAACCTTGGTCTTGGTCTTGATAATCAGCCAGCTGGTCTCCCACGCGGCCACGGCAGGCGACACAGTGTCAATGTTGTCAATAAACCTAGTCTCGCTCAGGGGTCAATCAGCTTCCCTTACAGTAGTCAGGACGGTTTCGAAGATGGTTTTGTACCTCCAAGCTTTGGTGGTCACTCTCGCACCACGTCCCGAGTTGATTCTAGCTGGCGCATCAGTAAGCTTTATACTTATTTGCCTGCACATCTAATATTCATGATTGTTCAGATGGAGGTGTTGGCGCTATCCAAGGCAACAATGCATTCGCCGCTGATCTTGCTCAAGCACAAGCGCAGCTTCAGAGTTTGCAGCAGTTCCGTGCAGCAGCTGGTGGCCACCATCACAAAATGCCATCTTTCTCATTCCCCAACATGCTTCCAAACATGATGGCTGCGAACATGATGGGTTTGAATATGGGCGGTGTCAGCTTACTGCAGCAGCAACAGCAGCAGCAGCAGCAGTTCCAATCGCAGCTTCAGCAACAATCCAACCAGCCTCAACGCAAATCTCTTTTCGCTCCTTACCTACCTCAGGCTTCGCTGCCGCCACTTCTTGCAGCAGGAAAACTAGTTGTTGGGATCTTACGAGTCAACAAACGTAATCGCTCGGACGCATACGTCGCTACCGAGGTTCTCGACGCCGACATCTACATTTGTGGATCCAAGGACCGTAATCGTGCTCTGGAGGGTGATATTGTCGCCGTCGAGCTTCTTGATGTTGATGAAGTATGGGGAACGAAGAAGGAGAAGGAAGAGAAGAAGCGCAAGAAGGAAGAGAACTCCGCCTATGACTTGAAGTCATCTTCAGTACGCCGGGACGACAAGAAAAAGGATGACGTTGAAGTCGAGGGCCAAGGTTTGATGCTGTTCGAAGATGAGGAGTACGTTTGCATCTTTTTTCCCGTTGGACCATTGACTCAGTCGTTTGTTCCTGTCAGGGTTACCGATGATGTCAAGCCTCAGTTTGCGGGGCATGTCGTTGCGGTTGTTGAGCGTATGCCTGGCCAACTCTTCTCTGGCACTCTTGGCCTGTTGCGCCCTTCATCCGCTGCAACCAAGGAGAAGCAGGAGGCTGAGCGCAGGGAACGCGAAGGCGACCGTGGTGACGAGCCCAGGCGTGGACCCATAGAACGCCCGAAGATCGTGTGGTTTAAGCCCACCGACAAGCGAGTACCGCTCATCGCCATTCCTACTGAACAAGCACCTGTGGACTTCGTCCAGAACTCCGAGGCCTATGCAGACAAGCTGTTCGTTGCTTGTATCAAGCGTCACGTCAGTGTGTTTTGGATTGTATGTCGACTCTATTGACGCCTCTGCCATAGCCCATTAGTTCGCTCCACCCATTCGGTACTTTGGCTGAAGAGCTTGGCCCTATTGGAGACATCGAAGTTGAAACTAGTGCTTTGTTGAAGGACTGCAACTTCCCTACAGAGGAATTCTCGGACAGCGTTCTTAAATGCCTGCCTCCTACACCCTGGACGTGGGTTCCTGGTTACCTCTCTCAAGATATGAGCTGACAATACCACATGCAGTGTCCCAGAGAGGGAGTTTGAGGTTCGCAAGGATCTTCGTGAAGAGCGCATCTTTACTATTGATCCTGAGACTGCAAAGGACCTTGATGACGCATTGTCCATCAAGGCCAATGACGATGGCACTTATGACGTGGGCGTGCACGTTGCCGATGTCTCTTACTTTGTCAAACCTAACACTGCTCTTGACCGTGATGCTCGCAAGAGGGCAACCAGCGTGTATCTCGTGCAGCGCGCCGTCCCCATGCTTCCTCCCACCATTAGCGAAGAGGCGTGTAGTCTTAACCCGGGTGTTGAACGTCTGGCATTCTCGGCTGTCTTTACCATGACCAAGGAAGGCAAAATCGTCAACAAGTGGTTGGGCAAGAGCGTCATTAAGTAAGTGCTATATTTCCGTACATAGCGTAATTGAAATTCATTTAATATTAGATCTTGCGCGAAACTGTCATATAACGACGCTCAGAAAGCTATCGACGGTCACATTCTAGGTGATCTCATGGTCGCTCCGGAACACAGTACATCAGCGATCGTGCATGACATCAAGGTTCTGAATGATCTCGCAAAGCAGCTTCGTGCTATGCGCATCCAGGATGGCGCTGTCAGCCTATCGTCTAAGCGCCTTAGGTTTACCCTAGACGAAAACGGCCGACCAGTGGACTGCGAGCAGACCGAGAACACCGATGCAAACAACATCGTTGAAGAGGTTTGTGTTTAATTCGTACTGAGCTGTATTGAAGACTGATCTGAACAATTATAGTTCATGCTACTAACTAATACCACGGTCGCGCAACGTATTGCCGTTCACCTTCCCGAGCAGGCCCTGCTTCGCAGACATGACACGCCGCTCGAGAGACGCCTCGTGAGTTATTATTGCATCTTGAATCCTATTCCAGTTACAACTTGGTACAGAATCTTTTCACCGAACGTGCCAATCGACTCAATATCGCAGTCGATGTCTCCTCTAGTGGTGCCTTAATGAAGTCATTCGAGGCGATCACAAACCCGACTGCCCGCATGGTGTTGGAGCTGATCTCCCACAAAGCTACTCAGAGAGCCAAATATTTCTGCGCTGGCATGCTCGACATTGCGAAATACAACCACTATGCTTTAAGCGTGCCCCTCTACACTCATTTTACCTCTCCTATACGGCGCTACGCGGATGTTCTTGTGCACCGTCAACTCGAATCAGTTTTGCAGGGTGGAGGTGAGTTACGCTTCATAACCGTCTTTGTCATATTCTGACGAATGGCAGTGGAACCTAAATTCTCTATGGACCGTGACGCTGTTGCAAAGATTGCTCAACAGTGCAACATGTTTGTGTCATTTTATCAATGGCTGGTCTGGTGTACTGATTTTTATGAACAGCAAAAGGGACTCGGCGAATTTGGCGCAGGAGCAGTCGACCCATCTCTACTTGTGTGTTCTAATATCAGACCTCACCCAGCGACACGGTCCTGTCATTCGTCCAGCCAAGGTTGTCAGTGTCCTTGATGCTGCGTTCGATGTTCTTGTCCCTGAGTTTGGCATTGAGAAGCGGGTCCATGTTGACCAAATGCCTATTGACGTAAGTGTTTCAGAAAGGATTCAGGAGAAGAAAACTGATTGTTTAAACTAGAACCACGTTTATGATGAGCACTCGCATACCTTGCAAATCTATTGGTCGAATAGGGACGTCCTTAGCTGGTTGGCAGAGAACAGTGATGACGAGCACTTGAAGAAGGTTAAGCAGAACGCTGAGGCCCACGCAGTCAAAATGGAAGTTGCATCTCGTTCTGTGCATGACGAGAATGCCCTCTTCGACGAGGATGACGCCGATGAAGATGAGATTGTGTTAGGAAGGAACATGGAAGCTGAAAAGGCACCTGAGAGCTCGAAGCAAAGGCTCCTGTCTGCCGCCAAGGTCCAGCCTGTGTTTGAGGGTCTGAGGACCACACCAGCTGGCCACAAGATTCAGGACATCAAGGAGCTCATGACCGTTCCCGTGCGTATTCTTCTGAGTGATACATGTACATTTGTTAACTCGTATGCAAGGTTATCGTGACTGCCGATTTGACCAAGAGTCCACCCGTCATCAAGGTGTATAGCGTTAACCCTTACGCAGAGCAGAAGAAGTAATACTCTGCATCCACCAATGATGACGGCGTTTTATGTGTACGATAACTGTTTCATATTCCATCATGCTCTCTTTTCCGATTCCCTTCTATGTCACTAACTCACGGTCTGTACAGTATTCGGTCATCCACGATTTCCTTGTTACGTTCTCTCCTTTACCTCGCCATTATGTCGTTGTTGTCTACAGGCCCTGTGTTCGGTCGTGTCTTGCTATACTATAGCACTAGTTCGTTAGTCTAGTATGAAATTTAACATGTCGTCTTCTGTTCTGATGTGGCCTGTGAATTGCAAATGTTCGATCAAAACGAATGAATGTATTGCCTACTCTACAATATAATAACGGTGAGTATCCTGTGGCACTACAGTGAATGAGTGTGAATAAGTATATGCATATGCAAGATGCCCGTGGATAAGTCAGATAGTTGGGAAAGAAAATAAAGTCAGTCATGTCAATCGTCACGCATATCATATCCAAGAAGTAATTGCATGTTTTCGGGAGTTCGGAATATTCGCTCGGTTCTCTCCTCTGTCCCGGCTGCTCTCACGAGGTGCAGCAGCTGGCGGAGGTGTCGCTCGCATCGATTTTCCGCTGGAGCGAGAAGATGAGCGACGCATGTCATGAGGTTCACCACCTTCCTGGACGGTGTGCAGGGAGTGGATGGAAGCGGAGCTGCTCATGCTTCCAGCGCGTGCATGTATCGCAGTACTGCGTCTACTACATATCTCGTCATTGCATAGCTTGAACAACTCGTCCAGACCAAGATAATTGGCCTCGTCACGAAGCTCGAGTAATGCATCAAGTCTTGCCCGTGACGAAGACGCAAGTTGAACGGCTCTAGGAATGATGGCTGGGTGTTCTGAAGTGAAAAGGGGAGTGCGTAGGTACGACAAGATGTGCACGTATCTAAAATGATAGCATTGACGATTATACACAATCAGAAGCGGGAGGTACTTACGGAGCACTTGGCCTGTCGAGGAATATATGTATATTCATGGTTGACTGGGATATAAACCCAGAAGATGCCAAATGGTCATGAAACATAGCGTTGAACGACTTGTCTGGAAGCTCGGAAATATCGCTTGCATTGGAGTACAACGATGCCACAACTGATTTTCGTGGTAAGAGGGAAGTGACATAATTTGAGAGGTAAGAAGGCCTTGAAATAAGAGTACGGAGTGTCGTGCGGTGCGTTGCTGAACTTGTCTCTATGGTCACGATAATCTTGGAAGGATCAATTGCACTGCTAGGGACAGGGGACAGTAGAATAGGTTCGAAGGGAGGTTGGGGTGGCGTAGCAGAAACGTTCACTGGAAGTGGTGGTACGGGCGGCAGGTTTTCTGCTAGAGACGGGGAAGTCTTTGTTTTAATGACTGGACGAAGAATTGTAGATGACGTCAGTGGCGCGGGGGGAGGAGGACGGCTTGGGCATGGCGGTGCTGATGTGTCTTTTGCCGGAAGACTCGATGAACTACCATGTGTCGAGGCGAATATAGTTGGAGTTGACGAGTCAAGAGAAGACTTCGACGGCACAGGTGGCAGACCATCCGCAAGCGTGGGCAAGCCCACTGCCTCCTCAGAGGGTGCCTCAGAAGCCGACTCCAGTTGTCCGCCATCATCATCTTCATCGCCAAACAGGGTGCTCGTACCAGACAGCGCCTCTTGTGGTGTCCTCACAACCATGGCGCCGCTTCCAAGAGGCCCACTACGTTTGACATTAAATATCTCCAAGGAGCTGTCAAATCTGGGTTCTGATATGCGAATTGGTGCAGCCACGACACCATGTGGTGAAGTATTGGAGGAAGAACTCGTATTGCGAGTCAGCCAGATCATTGGCTTCGAGATCGAAGGTCTGTGACCTCTTGGAGGCGTACTCGGAGGTGATACTGGTGTAGAAGATATAGAGAAATGATGCAGAGCCAGCTCTGTGGTCTGTGAGATGGGTGGTGGTGGATGCTGAGGACGCCTTGGAACAATCATGGGGAAGCTAGTGGAAGAAGGGGACTCCTGGACAACTAAGACAAGACTAAGGGGGTCAAAGAGTACGAACCCGTTAAGAAGATAGCTGATGGACAAAAGTAGACGAAACCGTTGTTTTCACTTATTCGAAGAACAAAAAGATTTCAAGGGAGAAAATGATCGGCACTACAACACTTGCCTCTTTGGGACAAAGATTTAAAGCACCCGTGGGAATATTGACCATACTTGCTATGGCTTCTCCAGTTACCACAAAATTCCAGGCCGCTTTACCTTTCGCACTTCTTTCAATTTCACCCAGTCTTGCTGCCCTTCATGCTTCTCGAGCGCGCTCTCTCTACCCAGAAGAATTTGATTCTTCATCCACCACGAATTGTCTACGGTGTGGTTCATATCTGTTGGCCGCCGATGGCTCTATAGAACTCCGCAGACCAAGAAGGAGAAAGGTTGCTGACAAGAAATTAAACGCCATCAAGATTACTTGTCATCGCTGTGGCTTTATTTCCTATACTTCGTTTGATAGGAGAGAGACATTCCCTCAGTCAAAGCCTACCACTGGTGCCCAACTATCACTACCATCGCTGGTCCCTCCAGTGTCCGTTTCATCTCAGTCAGAGCATAAACCGAAAGAAGAATCGATACCGTCTTCATCACGTTCTTCTGTGCCAGTTGGTTCATCCCCTGTGACACATTCGACGCGAGGAACTACACCCAACCTGCACACAAAGCCCAAAAAGAAGACAACGGCATTGCAGGAGATGTTAGCTCGCAATCGAGAGAAGGAGGCTGTAAGGACAAAATCTCAGCAAAAGCCACCACCAAGTGGCCTTGCATCGTTCCTTAGTTTACTACAATGATAAAAAGGTGCGTTGTTAATCTTACATATAGCTGCACCGTGTTCTCAAGACCTTACATTCCTTAACAATAGCCCCCTCATGGTTTTGGCGATGTGTATCTCCTTCCTCGTCCTCAGGCTCGAGCCCACTTGGAATGAGACAGCCGGGGAAGGAGGAGATGCAGGAGATCGCTCCTCCAATAGGCTAAACGACATATCTGAAGGTTCACATTCAAATAATACATAAACAACAAATGTGCATTTTATTTGACCTCTGAAAAGCCACCATCTACCAATCAGCGCTGTAACACAATCAACTTACCAGTGTCATTTTCTGCATCACTATAGGAAGATGAAGTCTATAAGATATTTAAGAAATCTGTGCCGACGATCAGGATCCGAGGAGAGCGGGGGAATCACTGACGCAAGGCATGAATGCATGAGTAACCGAATTGCTTACATCTGTCCTGGCAGTTCGAATTGCTTACACCCTTCGCATAGTTCTCACACTGCTCAACTGTCTCTTTCTGCTGCAGACTGGCGCCCATGCTGTGTTAGAAACCCTCATTTAGGGGAAACAGCCTTGGGAAACGGCGGCTGTTTAGATCACCCCTTATAGCACGGGAGAACTATGGACCGTGGTCGGCACGATTCTGTTCAGAAGCTTGGAGTGTCACTGGTCAGATTTCAATAAATTCTCTCGCTGATCGAGATGTGGCCGAATTCAATTCGCGCCAAGTTATCTCTACCTCCAGAACGCGTCCACCGAGATCCACACCTGTTATACACCACTTTGGCTATTTCACTTGATCTAGATACCATTGGTGGATACAATCGTACCGGGTCGTCACCATGATTTTGGCCAAAACAGGAGCAGAGGTACAGGGAACGGGCTTCAATCCAAGCCAATAAATTCGCCGCGGAAGAGATCTCAGCCGTTGAATGTGCAACGACGCGCCACTGATGGTGGCACAACCCAGCCCAGGTAAAGACCAGTGGAGGGCTAGCAAAATCGGCCGAGATTGTTGAACCTCCGAGTGTGAAGCTACGTTGGTATTTCGTCAACGATGAGCAAGAACACCCCCGGGCTGGTTGAGATGTTCCACTGGCAGCCGATGGATGTGAAGTTCCAGGAAGTTCACGTCGACGGGACCAGGGATATGTGAATTAAATGACTCAGAGTGAAGGGCAGTGGGTTTGTTACTTCGGCAATACTGGTTTGATCCCGGTGGGCATTTCTTTTCGTCGCAGGCTGAGTCTATCATCAACTGAGACTGAGCCACGGGCGCTCTACATAGAGAAGTCGGGACACAAGCTAGATAATTAAGCAGCGAGTGAGTATGTGTCATGGCCTGGCCATGGACGTATGGTTGTGTACCATATGTAAGCTCACATGGCAAAAGTTGGCATCTAAAATCTACAACATATGAGTGTGCTGTGCTCAAACGCGCCTCGCCCGCGTCACTTCGGGTCTTCATTTGATAGTCACGTGACTAGGAAAATCCCACGTTTAAATCCCTGTGCGGACAGCTGAGTCGGTGTCACTGATTGCGTCCACCAGTGCATTTGATTCCACGTCATGCTAATAATCTGTGACCGTCTGTGATTGATCCAAACCGAAACATTCGTTGTGTGCCCTGTGCCCACCGCCCGGGATCACGAACCAAATGTCTTTGACTCAATCCCGTCCCGATGTTCTGTAGTGATCTTTCGCAAGTATTCTACAGGCATAACTTGGATTTCTTGACGCAACTAGCAAGCAACTAGTATTCCTACGATCTAATTTCTTTCATGGAAAGTTATCTCATCCACTCCTTTTCAGGTCGAGGCACGCCGGTCTATCATATGCTGTTGTGAGATGCCAAGTTTCAAAACTTTCAGCCACTTGAGCTCCAGGGTTTTCGAGCAGCATGATGGGAGATATAACCATTCCTCGGACAATAACACATCTATTACGCACTCGGAGATGCAGGTGGGACACCGGGGGTCCTTCAGACTAGAAAGTAGTGACCTACATAGAGCACAACTCTGCAAAGGACAGAAATTGGAATCAAAAAATCAAAAACACACACACATCTATTCATGTAGGGGGAGATGAAGAACTGTCTGCGCTGGTCCATCCGCTGCAGGCAGTCTGACTGCACGCTGGTGAGTAATGGTCAATGTTCACCCGGATAAGGTGTCGAGAAGAAGTCGATAAGTGCTGGTTCTTCGACATTAGTCGCAGAAAGGCCTATATGATGTTTATAACGTGGTAATGTCTGCTTCAAGGCGTACACTTGTGCTCAATGTGGTCCAACTAACTTTAGTGATCCGTTTTTGGATCACGTCTGTCAGTGACTCACGTAACTCACGACGCCCAACACCTCCACAATTTTGAATGAAACGGAGACCATTCTTTTATTCTCTTCCTATTTTGCCTACGTCACCATCAGGTGCTTACGAGGTAAATCCGATGTTCTGAGTGTGTGCACCTTTGTCTTGGCTACATCACGAGCGGTGTGCTCATCCGGGAGAAGCTTGAGACACTGATAGGTTGCATCCATAGGATACGCCCACAGGCGTAGAGCATCTCCATGGAACCCCACAAGCACGACACACCCTTCTCGTTATTACCAAGGCGGTCCTTACCTTACATTTCAAACCCGCCACATCTATTAATGGTTCCGGTCAGATCTTAAGCAATGCGCTCAACCCGTGAGTCAGGCTGTGACAGACACATTTGATTTCTGCGGACCGCTTATCCGCTGGCAACTATACCCGGAATCGATGAAATAAATTCATGGTCTGGAAGCACGTAGGCATTTAATATGACTTGTCCCAGGCTCCCAAGACTGCCCGGCATCAGAAAAGATTACAAAGTTGTGACAAGCGGACCGTACTCTATTGTTCGCCACCCAAGTTATACTGGTCTCCTTCTCCAAAATATTGGGACCATCATCATGTACGGAAGCCAAGAGTCGTGGATGAGGCAATCTGGAATTCTTCAAGTGTTATGATCGGATTTTGGATTTCCAAGAGCTGGCCTGCAGTAGGGGATAAGATGCTGCAGCGTACTATGGGAGAAGACTGGGAGAATTGTGCGAATTCCAGAAGATGAAATATCGATCACTTCCTGGGGTCTATTAATTATATGCGTACCGAGTGTTCTGTTTGCTTCTTGTACCATACTGGTGTTTTATAGGAGTTGGCTGTATATTATACGTTACAGTGCATCAGAACATTATGATGGAAATGGTTTTACTTTAACATTCATACACGTAAAAAGTTGACTTGATGTTGACTTGTGCTTTGCATTCGTACAATGCATGCAGGTGACTCTCCTCGCCAGTACTTACCATTATATAAACCATTGACAACACTACCAGAGTGGCAAGGTAGGCAAAGACCCATTTATGTCATTCGTGTACTATGTATGTGCCCCTTGAAACGTATTCTATAAAAGAAATAAAATGAGCGTGGCTACCTCATGGGTTACACTAGAGAAGGGCTAGAAATGGATAACTCCTTCTGTTCTTTGACGTAGGGGCGCGCTGGCTTGATGAACCTTCCGGGCCAGAATGGAACGTACACGACAAGGGCCAAGCAAATGGGAATCGTATCGCCCAGATAGAAGGCTGCCTCGCTTGTGCTGAGATTGCCGCGGAAGCCCTGACTAGCCTCCACAACACGGTAGAAAGAACGGATCTATCAAAGCGTCAGTTAAAGACTACGGGATTGCTGCCATGCAACACGAACCAGAAGTCCGACACAACTGACCGCCAAGGCAGCGGCGAGTGTTCGCCAGTCGTTAATCCAGTGTTGCTTCGAGTCTCGCATGCAGACATCCTGTTCCTCAGTGTAGACCCTGTAGAGGAATCGTGCATAGATGGCACAAAAGAAACCGAAGGAGACCAGCTGCATAATGAGGCCAGCCAAAAAAATCTGACAGATATAATTAGACCCATAGATAAACAACAGGTGCAAGGACATACGTGAAGTCCCGTCGATGCCGAACTTTGAACCTTGGACGTAGTCATTGAGGCTCCTGTCGCCTTTGGCACCATATTATTAGAGAAGGTCATTCAAAAAAAAAATTCAACGCTCACCTGGATGACAAAGGTAGTCACGTCGGACAAGACAAATATGAGGGTGAGCCGCCTCACTGGAAGCAGGACGTGATGAGCGCAGTCGATTTCACCGGCAAGGCGACCAAGAAGAGTATAATTCGCGGCAATGAAAAAACAGGGCTATTAAGCGTCAACACATATTCATAGTCATAGCTTGGTGCTGACTCACAGACAACACGATCATCAAGTCCTCAGAGATGAAAATCTCCAATGAGTCAGGACTATGGTGCAAAGCGAAGCGAAATGCAAAGCCGAGAGCATAAACTACAACAATCGTGAAGAAGAATCAAAACAAGCGAAAGACTGCGACGTGCTGTATTCCCCGATGACCATGGACAACATGAACTTCCCGCCGTTATAGATTATTTGATAAGTCTGAATGAGAACGACCAACAGCACATAAACTTTGCACCATAAGTTACGCGTTTCCCTGGCTTAGCGGCCACTCACCAAAGGCGACAGCGGTGAGCGTATTGTTAGCAATATATCCGAGGCCATTGCATGGATCGTTTCGTGGGTCTAGATAAGGATCGGAAGGACATATCACAGAATTGGTGGCTGCCTGAGCCGACGTGACAAGAAGCGTCAAGAGAAAGAAAGTGCTTGCTACAATTGGGCCAGCCATGAGAAGAATAAGACGAAAAGTAAGAAGATGAAGAATGCCCTTCATGGATCGACGAGTTCCGCTTTTATGCTTGAATAGTGTCCATCTAAAATTATGCAACTCAACGCGGCACTAATCGATATCCATGCGAACCCTGAGGCGGTGAGTTTTGACACCCTATGCAAACATAGACTCATCAGAGGTTTACCGTGGCAATGAACAGCAAGAACATTTGCAAACACATACCTCTTAGAATTCAGAACCAGCAATGTGCCTGTGGCACGATTGTGGTATCGCAGCCATTGGAGGTTCTCAAGGTGCCCGAAGGGTATATAACTCCTTGTCTGCGAAGTCAAAGTAATCAATTAACCAGAGCTAGGTTTGAATGAATGATGATTTCACGAGGCATGTTTAAATTGATTGGAAAACTGTAGTCTGTGAAGCGTGGATCGTAGAGATTCATCCATCTTAGAAAATGCCTCCAGGCTCTGATACACTGGTTGAAGCCGGAGAGGTAATCACTTGCTACTTGATGTACACAGCAATGTAGAAGCCACTGTAGTATGTGCCAACAGACTCCGCGGAATGCTGTTTGCGGGTTTGAAATTCTGGGGTTGCTGGGCGGGAGGCTGTCGTCTAGGCACCACAGCAGAATTCAGCACAGGTCCAAAGAGAGTAAAAATATGACATACTTCCGAACACAAAACTTGATGCAGGCAGGCGACAGGATCCGAGTCATAAAGCTGTCCGACCCACATTGTGACATAATATCATTGGTCAAGTCTGAATGTAGCTAGCATGTGTATGTGACATTGACGCGTGATACCAGGAATCAGCTAGTCACGCGCCCGATCACACCGGGACCTATGGAATTATTAGCTAGACTCTTAATGTGCACATGAAGTTGTTTGTGAAAGGACACCATAGATTAGTTTCGGCCAGCATCGAAAGGTGACCTGTCACATTCAGGCCATTCTTGAGACATCCTGGAATCCTTCGGAGTCGAGGAGAGCTTGAAAGTTCAATGGGAGCCTGCAAGACACAGCAAAAGAGGTTTATTTGGGGCGAATTTCATACAATAAAGCACGCCTTGCAACACTAGGCTGCCCTGCAGCAGTTGGAACGAAAGCTGATCACCACCGGAGACGGCGAGCGACGATGCATAGAACAGGATAGTACATGTATGATTGAATAACTCAGAGTTATCTAAGCAATGTCTAAGTTTGGTCTAAATCCTGAACGTCATGTGACAACCCCAAAGCGCGCAAGTACTATCTATTCAAATTCAAACCCATTTCATTTTGCCTCAGCCTTGTCAGCGCGAACGGGACACAGCTACTCATGATGTGTTGATGTATATAAACCTCTGTCACTTACAGTTGCTATCATAATTGTTCTAGCGTGGTATGTACATTCCATATTAAATTATTGTTCTTTGATTATCAGTGTCTCTGAGATCTCACTGGTACTCCGAGTCAGTACTTGTCACAAGTACAGGTCTACTTGTTTGCGCGTGCTGCAGCATATTCTCCCGTTCTTCTTGGCTGTACATCAATCGAAGGTGTGTGTTTCTTTTATCCATTTATCTGTGTATATAACCTCCAAGTATCTTCATGTGTTCAAGTTCGACACTGACATTCACATTAAATTGTTCACGTCACGGCTCCCACATTCTTCGATCGACAATGTTAATGTTCGTGCCCGTTTACGTGCATCTGCACTAACGTTTGTATGTGTATCTACATGTTCTCATCGTGTGCACTTGTCCATGCATTCCTCCTTCCTTGTATTTGTCTGTACTTATCTGTTCAGTGTATTTCTACTTCCTCGCACTTGTCTGCGCTTGTCTCCAGCGCTCCCTGCTCATTTCCACCTGCTGCTACTCATTCGTGATTGTCTGCGCTCGTTTGCATTTGATGTTACGACTTCAGATCACGCTAATATCTCAATTGTAGGCCGAGGTTGGGGAGTTGTTGCCGGACATATATGATGTGTTTACATTGTCGATCATTTTTTCAGTATTGGTGTTTTAGGCAGATGCCACACAAGTATCTTTCAATGATGTGCGAGATGACATTCATGTCCGTCATCAGTATTCTTTCATCCGTTGTGACTTGGTCATTAACACTCTGCACCCCGTTGGCATCAATAGAATGTATTTCGTATATGAAGCTGCGGCCTGGGTCTGAGCCGTCAAGAAGGACCTGGCCTACGATTTGAGCGAGCCTGAGCCCTCTCAAGCCAAGCCGGGCTGTGCACATCACCAGGTCATACAATAACCTTCATTCGATCCTCGGACATTGCTTGTACCCAGATCAGCTAGAACTCCGACATTCACGTCGTCCCAGACTCGACAGGCCCCGCCATATCATACTGTCCTGTACATCTCGTATGCCTTTGTCTCTTGAACCTGCATCCCTCTCGTGTTCTGCCATGGTCGTCAGTTATTGAATCAACTTCTGGTCCTATAGTTGATGTTGGTACCATTATCGGCGATCGTTCTGTCCTGCATAGTTCATGTTATATCAACGGGTGCCACGACTTTCATGCCCTCCCGAAAGTCATTAAGGACTATTTTCAACTTAAGGTAACCACGCTTTGATACTGTTTTAGTCAACGAGGGTGGTGGTGGGACAACGGGTATAGATGGCGCGCGATTTTGTACTAATTCCTTGCAACACCACGCTAATGTTTGATCATGAATTTCAGGGTATTATTTTGCACAAGTCCGTGTTGTCTTCATGCTGACATGTCGGGCTGTGACTGCCTTATTTCGCACACCTGCAAAGTGACCTACACGCTTTGCTTATGTGGAATAGTTCATGTCGTTCGGGAAACCTGAAGTAAACCATGATTTGTAAAAGATTCCCTGCCTCGTTCGTAACGGAGAGCGTCTCGCAAGCATTATTGATGTGTTTGATATTCGAAGGAGTGTACGCTTATTTAAATAATCTGACCGGTAGGATTGGCTACATTATTCCACGATACAATGATTTTCGTCAAAATACTACATTCGACTGTTTTAAGCCCAAGTTTGAATATTTTAGCGAATTTCATGGCGAAGGTTTTCCCTGATGTCGGTATGAAATTATGCCAGCCCTCACGAATGGCAAATGTATTCATTCAGTCCGATCGTTCTATCCTGAGTACCTTCAAGTACGTACTCCTTGATTGTCTCTGCAATAAATACTCCAAATGGATCTGTAATCGACTCCCTACTCAAGCATTCTCGCCGCTGGAACAACGTACGTGAACTAACACTATCCGAACCGCAAAGTCCTTGTATAGCATCCATTCGTTTGCTATGTGTATTCTAATATAACAAACAATAAATAAAAGTGGAATGAGTGGGGTTAGTAGTCGTCTAGCACTGCTGTGGGCACTTCACGGTTGTAACCTGAAGTACCGCGAGAATATAACAACTCCTGACCATTTTGCGATTCGTTAACGGAGGGCGCTAGCTTGCCTATGATGAACCTTCCGGGCCAGAATGGAACGTAAATCACGATGGCCACAAAAAGGGGAAGCGTATCACCCAGGTAGAAGGCTTCCTCGCTTGAGGCGAGGGCGCCGTGAAAGCCCTGAGCGATCTCCGCAACACGGTAGCCTGAACGAATCTGCAAAAGCGTTTGTTAAAGGCGACAAGGTTGCTGTGTGAAAGACAAACCAGAATGCAGATACAGCTGATCGCCGCGGCAGTGGCGAGTGTTCGCCAGTCGTTATTCCAGTGTTGCTTTGAGTCTCGCATCCAAATGGCCGGCTCTTCAGCGTGGACCTTGTAGAGGAATCGTGCGTAAATGACACAAAATAAACAGAGGGAAGCCAGTTGTAAAACGAGGCCGGCCAAAAAAATCTGACAGAGATGATTAGAACTCACTCAGATCGGGATAAACGCGGGTACAGAAACATACATGAAGTCCTGTCAAAGCAGAACTGTAAACGCTGGACGTGGTTATTGAGGCTCCTGCCGCCTTTGGCAAAACATCATCAAGGAAGCTCAGTGAAAAAAAGAATACTCACTTGGATGACAAAGGTAGTCACGTCAGACAAGACGAAAATGAGGGTGAGCCGTCTCACTGGAACCAAGACCCGACGGACACAGTCGATTTCCCTGGCAAGACGACCGAGGAGAACGTAATTCGTGGCAACGAAGAAACAGGGCTTTACAGAGGATTAACGAACGACCATTGTTGCGGTTTGACGCTGACTCACAGACAATACGATCATCAAGTATTCGGCGATGTAAATCCCCAGTGAATCAGGATTATAATGCTGGGCGAAGCGAAACCCAAAACCTATAACATAAACTACAGCCAAACATCAGGAAGAACCAACACAAGCGTGAGATTGAGACGTGCTGTATTCCCCGAGGACCATGGGGAGCATCCACTTCCCACCCTTATAGATAATTTGGTAAGTCTGGACAAGAGCGACAAGCAGCACAAGACCTTCGCACAGTAAGTTACGTATGTTCCCTGGCTTACTGGTGACTCACCAAAGGCGATGGCAGTTAGCGCATTGTTAGCAATATAGCCAAGGGCATTACATGGGTCGTTGCGTGGGTCCAGGTAAGGATCAGAAGGATATTGGGTGGAATTGCTAGCCGCCCGAGTAGAAGTGACAGAGGTCAAAAGAAGGGTCAAGAGAAACAGAGTGCTAGCTAAGATGGAACGAGCCATGAAGAAGAAGATGCTGATGACGAGGATAAAGAAGATGAACGCCCTCTATAGGACAAAGCTCATACTTTATGTCGGAGGATGAAAGAGTATCCATCAAAAACTTCGCAGCGCAGCGCAGCATCAATGTTATCGTGTGAATTGCGAGGCAGTGGGTTAAGACAGTCCGGACACATCGGGTATGCTAGAGCTCATCAGAAGTTTACCGCAGCAAGAATGCCGTGGGCGTTTATCAAATTAATACCTTCCCCATCATTAAGAATTTATGAACGATGTGTCCGTGATAAGACTGGGGTTATTGCCTTTCTCAAGGTCCAGGAGCCCAAAGAGTATACAATTCTGTGTCTGCTGGATCAAAGCAGGTGACCAGAGCTATGTCCGAGCGAATGGTAATTTTACGAGGAGGGTTCAAATTGACTGGCAGACTGCGGAGTGTGGGTCGCAGAGGTTCGTCCATGTGGTAGAAACTGCCTCCAGACTCTGATATAGTGGTTGAAGTGGGAGAGTTAGCTGCGCGGTCCTTGACATGCGTGGTCAGCAGAAAATTCGGAAGTCTCCCTATGTGCTAACCTCTGTGGAATGCTGTTTGCGACTTCGCAATTCTGGGGTTGTCGCTGGGGCACTGCCCATTCCGGAGCCGTAGTCTAGGCACCAAAATTTAACATAAGAAAGATAATGGATAACATGCTTCCGACCATGAAGCTTGTTTCTTGATGCAGCCGATAGCTGTTGAGCTGACATATTGTCCTGTGCCTATGATTGTACGGTCACGGTGGTATGCAAGTTGGCGCGTGTGACATTTGACGCGTGACACTACAGATAACGCGACTTGTCACACCCGCGCCGTCACTGGTCCTGTGGCTCCAAGCCTCCGATCTCCCTTTCGACATTAATTGCCACTATGAACATCTTCAAAAGTCGTAAGTGCAATTGTTTTTTGATCTACATCCTTTTAATATATTCTGCTATAGTCCTTGGAAAAGTATGGCGTACGTTCGATCTTGCTGGAAGATATGTCTGATGGTCTAACCTTACTGCTCTCAGAAGACCCCAATGCTGCCGAAGTGGTCAAGATCGAGATGGGCCAGCTGTACCTTGTCAGGCCGGGGAACATCCGGTCATCAAGGGAATGCATGTGCGAGCTCTGTCGGTTCATCATATGGCTGTCCCTGATTTCATTACAGATATAACGAGGCAATAGCGACGATACGCCGTGTCCCCGCACTCGACCATAACTTTCAGCTGGTCATTACACGAGTATATGAAGATGGCGATCAAGAGCTTCTCGAAGATGAAGATGAAAGTGTGTAAATCTATTGTATACATCATTTAATACAAGCTCTCACACGTAACGAATGATAGCTGATGAAGAGAGGGTGTTCTTGATCAGTGAAGAACTTGAATTCCGGTCTGGGGTGACGGACGATGAACCAACTTTCATTTGGCGCGACCTCGACGGGGATGTCGACGAATTGTACGAATTCGTAGCCTCAGGCACCAACGAACCGACTCGTGCGTTCTTTGAGACTTGCATGTACCGCGCAATGTACGAGCGCAAGTTCAAGGCAAGTGCGGATAACACAAAGGACTCTGACTTGGATCAGTTTATATGGCGGTTAGCGCCTTTCGTTATGTGTAGCCCTTAATCGCTCCCCTGATGACGTTTTCAGACCTGTGATAAAGGCTAGGGGCAAGGGCGGTAACCGGAAGTCTCCGAAGAATCAACAAGACTCCGGGGACCTTCCATCAGACACCGTGGATGACTCTACGGTCCAATCACAAGTGATGCCGGCTAAGCCAACAAGTGCAGCGGCGAGGCCATCCTTTGCGAGCTCCTCACTCCCGACGGTTTCTTCTCAAGAAGGCCATATCTTCTCCTGGAACCTGGAAGTAGAAGGCTTCGTTGCCGAGCGCGAGGAAGTTGTTGTTGCCAAGATCGTCGAGCGTACCCCTGGCAATTTCAATTATTGGCTCATAGTCACTGACGAGGATGGCGACTTCGTTTCTCACAAAATCTCTTCGGATATGAATCCTCGCTGGGCTCAAAGGACGTCATCATTAACATGGAACTACGCTAACGGGGGCAGATATGATAGTTGGGCCCTGCAGCTCACGTACTACAGAAGCCTACGATGCATTTAAGACGGCCTTCGCTCAATGTCTGTGGGAAACATTGCATGGCGTTGAATTTCGAAAGGCCAAGGTAGAAATCTCGCGATTTCAATATTTCAAGTGGTTTACTGTGCATATAGCCTGATGAGCAAGCCTACGTCATCAGTTCAACAACTGAAGATGTTGAAATGCGTGACGTCGAAGATGAAGACGAAGACGAAGAAGAGGTTGAATCGGAACTTGACCCTGATGAAGGTACGTGGATTCCGCAATCGCACACAGGAAACCCCTGAGTAGCTTCTTAGAAGCAAGTGAGGAAGAAGAGGAAGAAGAAGGAGAAGGGGACGTTGTTTCTTCCATGCCACAAGGGGAACGCAACTCGCAATTAACGATCGGATATAAGGGCGACCGCTCTTATGTTGTCCGTGGAAATAATATTGGTGTCTTCAGTCACTCCAGCGACGATCAAGTGAAGTACTATGCGACTATTAGTAAAATTTCTACGCCGAAGGGAAAAGAATTCAAGCCACAGGAGGTGTTTTAATTTCAATTCCTTAGCATGATGACAAGTACTGAGATCGTCATCTTTTTGTGCAGGTCATGTTGCACGATCAGGACACGAAGATGGTCCTCAAGAATCCTTCGGATTCCCATTCGTTATTCAGCATGGACATTGAACGAGGCAAAGTGGTCGAAGAGTGGAAGATCCACGAAGATATCACAATTGATCACATTGCCCCCGACAATAAATTCGCTCAAACTACTCGCGAGCAGACTCTTGTTGGTGCTTCTCACAATGCGCTGTTCAGAGTAGATCCACGTATTCCTGGCAGCAAGATGGTTGAGAGCCAATACAAGCAATACGTCAGCAAGAATAAATTCTCTGGGGTTGCTACAACAGCCAGTGGGAAGTTGGCGGTGGCAAGCGAAAAGGGAGATATCAGACTTTTTGATACAATTGGGAAGAATGCGAAGACAGCTTTACCACCTCTCGGTGATCCTATTCTCGGTATCGACGTTACCGCCAGTGGCCGGTGGATTGTCGCAACAACAAAGACTTACCTGTTGCTCATCGATACTCTTATCGGCGAAGGGAGATACGCCGGAAATTTGGGTTTCGACCGTAGTTTCCCCGCTAACGCCAAGCCTATGCCGCGAAGACTTCAACTTCGTTCTGAGCACGTTGCATATATGAACCATGACATCAGCTTCTCAGTTGCACGGTACGTACCTTTAGGAGTGGCCGTGACCCTGACTGACTCTACCGAAATCGTAGCTTCAATCAAGGGGAGGGGCAAGAAGAGAATGCTATTGTCACAGCAACGGGGCAGTATGTCATCGCATGGGACTTTGCAAAGGTTAAGAAAGGGCAACTTGACAAGTATGAGATTAAGAAGTACGAAGATATGGTCGTTCAAGACAATTTCAAGTTCGGGGATGATAAACAAATTGTGAGTGGTCTGAGAGTCTAATGAAGCCGCGGCGTACTCATGTAGATCATTGCAGATCGTGGCTCTGCAGAACAACGTCCTTGCGATTAACAAGAAGAACCTCAAACGGCCCACGAGAAACTCGCTTGCGGTACCTATGTCCAGTCTTCAGAGTCGGTCGAGCATCGTAAACAGTCCGTACTAGACGGTGTTATCTGAGGCGGAATTGTTGTGGTAGTTGTATGTATTGCGGATTGTATACCTAACGTCTTCAGTAACGTAGGATAGGTGTATCGCAGAAGTTCTCTAAATATATAAGTGAAGATGTATATAATATTCCCTTCAAATTCTCTTCTCGCGCTACTTCTTTTCATCTGTAGCAACGTCGGCTTGTCTGTCGCAAGCATCAACATATCTCCAAATTCCAAGATGCCACATGATCCGGGGTATCATAAGACTAAATCCAAGGACAATGGTGGTCCAAAGCATCGGGCTCCACTGTGAAACATCCCATCTCTCATCTCCGAGAGCCCACAGCGTAACGAAGAGGTGCATGCAGTCTCCCATGAGAAGGGGGGTCATGAGAGCAAATACGATTTTCTCTTGTATAGCGGGCTGCGTCGAGAGATGCTTCCGGATGGCCGTTAATACAAAAAAGTTAACGACCCCCATGAGCGCACAGACGTGAGCTAGTTGAATCACAGTCACGATGGACGCCTTTGGAAGGCTAGTAGGCGGGGGATTATCCACTGGCCATGGCGCTTGTGTGTTGTGTGTCTGTCACACAGGTGGTCATTAGATGTTCGACTGAAGGAGAAGACTAAGACACTCACTGTTTCAGGGTCGTGCACTGCTCCTATGAACCCAAGTATCGTCAAAGCAGGTTCATAGAACGCGAAAAGCGCATAGTAGAAGTCAGGTATAGCAGATGCTGACGGTTGCATTGAAGGCACAGGAGTATCAATGACAGGAACTGCTGGTATCAACACAAGATTGTTGCGCAGTAGCTAGTGGACTCGGAGTCTGCGAAGCAGCAGGCAGTACTTGTGATAGACCAAGATGAACCTATGGAAGGCCGCCGCGAAACTCCCCGTGGGCTCAAATAACCCACGTTTGAAATATTAAAGCCTACGGGTCAGAAAAGGAAAAGCCGTCCTTCTAAGGCTCACAAGGGTTTTGCTGAACCCTCAGTGTTACTTATATGCCCAGCCCGGGGCCCGGGGAAAAGAACGGAAGGAGTTCAAAACGTAAAAGATCGAAGACGGTTTCAACAAGCATTATCAAAGCACAATATACGTAACAGTTTATTTCGCTCAGTCTTCCGACATTGTCTAACCGGCCCTAAAGCTAATCAATTTTCTCATCGTGTAATTTGCGTCTTCTTCATCTTACAACCTCAGGTCTATCTTAAACCCAGGTGGGCAGCCAATCATTCGATGTTGACCCACTAAATGGCGAGGACCGAGACCATTCTTCTACGAGAAGATGAGGGTTATAATGCATAGCTTGCTACTGGGTGTATATCCACTTCTGCAAGCCTGTGCTTCGCGCCTTTCTAACATCACAACGCCTTCCAATTGTTGTCCTTTCACGTAGACTCCGTACAATGATTAATATTGATCGAGATTCATTGATGACCATGAACTGCGACCAGCACATGTTTCCATGCAAGTGACTCGCTTGGTGCGGATCCAACTAGTAACTTAGATTCCAGAATATAGGAATTCGGGCTTGTCCGTTTGCCCAGAGGTATCAGTAATGTTTACTTCATACAAACGTGAAATCAGCCGCTCAACAGACCATTCAGCTGTTTTCGGGCTTCCTCCATTACTCTCTCCGCCTCATCGTCCTCCAGTTGATCTTGTGGTGTCTGGCACAAAATTCAGAGTAGAACTACTTGAGAGGGGAGCGTGACATACTGGTAGATCTGTTCCGGCTGAGCCAGCTAGTCCGAGTTTCCCGTTAGTGAGGTCGAAAAGAACCTTGTCAACTTCAGCGTCTGCCTCTTCTTCTATCTCTTCGTCTTCGTCCATTTGTAAGGTGTCTTCAAGCATTTCCTCCATGATCCCAGCCTGCGGTACAAGTCAGATAGTCAGGGGAGCACTATGGAAAAACATCACACACCTTCGTCATTTCCATGCTCATTTCCCGCATTGCTTGACTTATCTGGGGCAATTTGACAAGCGAGTTGGATAGTTTCATAATTTCTGTAGACTTCTGCAACGACCCTGTAACTTTGACCATGGCTGCAGAGTTGTAGCATGTAAATAAGCCGTACTTCAAATTAAGAATATTCACTCACCTAGCTGTTGCTGTAGCTGGGTACCGATCGATCCCAAGCGTGCTTTGCTAACAGACAATCTGTCTTTCTGCTTATTACTGCGGACGACCTCCTTAGCGAGGATTCGTGCAGACTTCACATCTCCCTTGACAGCAAGCTGCTTCACCGTCGTGCGTGCTTTTGCCGTCGCAGCTTCGAGCTGTACCGGGGATTAGCGTGGGATATGGGCACTACAGAACAGGGTGCCGACCTGCCTCATCTCCCTGTCCAGTTGTCGGCTTTCTGAACGCAATTTTCCTTGCCATGCACGCACTCTCTCTTCGGGTGTCGGTCCATAGAGAAATCGGTTTATGGTCTGCATGAGAGATTGAGTGCTGTGGTAGCTCAACTGGAAGTAACAGAATGTTGCCTCTTTCGGTTTTCAAGAGTGATTCGGGCTTGGCACGACATCTTGAGACTTTCTCGCCTACATGCAGTCGCAAATCGTTTAGTGGACCTTTCTTACTATTGTGTTTGGAGGTTTTGAATCGCTTGCCAGATCCGAACAAGCTTGCTCTAGCGGCTGACATGGCGGCTGACTGCTTCGACAGAGCATATAAACCACCTTGTTCCAACATGGTCCTCCGGAACACCTTGGCCGCTCCTAACGAGGGTGAAACAATAAATCCCGGTGACGCTATATCCGTACAGGTTCACTTTGCTCATAATGTCAATCCAATGGCTCCTAAGTTTCTTCCTACTTCCGTCCTTCGCCTGTGCTACCATAAAACCTGTGTCCCCCGGCCCTGGCGACGTGTTCAGATCTGGATCACCCTGCCTCATCTCTTGGGATACCGACCGGTCCGACTCCACCCAACCATGGAGAAACGCCACCATTTGTATGCAATTACATCCCTGATCCTATTTTTATTTTGACATTGGTTGCTACACAGACCTCATGTCTGGCCCCAACCTGAACATGTCAATAGTTACGACCGTTGTCGAGCACCTAGACGGGACTAACATGACATCGTATAATTGGCTATGCCCTGACGTGACACCCAATGCAGACATTTACTTCTACCAGGTATGGTGCATAACCATGCGAGTCGCGATCTCTTACTGATACCGGTACACCAGTTTTCGAATAACGGGGTCTCGACTGGATCGACTTGGACCTCTCGGTTCACAGTAAGTACAGTGGTAAATCCCCTCCGTGCAGAAGCTGATTATAGAGCTTTTAAGATTGCTTCGTATTCTGGCCACACCACTCTCCCTGAAAACAGCAAGCAACCTGGCGGGGCTCCTATTCCGTGGGGTGTCGGACATCTTGTACCCCCAAAGAGCACGATTTCGTCGAGCCCAATCGTTTCACCTCGCAGCCGTCCATTACTAACTCGCCCGTGCGAAACACTAAAATGTCGCCAACGCATGACACTCCTGGAAGACGCTTTGCCCTCCGGTACTAAAAATTCCGCTACCCCCTCTCCCCTTCGACAACGCATGGTCTCGCGCCCCACCGCAATAGATCAAGTCAAGCTCACGCGAGAGAGAAGACCTTCAAGCAGAGGTAGCCGCGGAGGCCCTAATCTGAGCGTGCATCTCCTATGTGCTCTAGCGACGTTGTGGTTGGTGGTTCTATAGACCAGGGACCTAGATATGACTACAGATTTGTACTACTACCTGTCTGTCGAAATAAAGTAATAGAGAAAGAGACTAAACATCTACAGCGAAAAGTAAGAGTGCACTATAAAAAATAATATGAACAGAACGTATGATATACACACAGGTTAAAGTTGCGGTCCAGCCTTGATCTGATTGACCAGTGCTTCCCAGTAACTCCAGTCAGAACCATCTACTTCCATCAAACCAGGATCCCCAGCCATTGGATTGGTGTTAGGTCCTATCCAGCCTGAGAATTCAGTACCACCGGGCCCTCCCCAAGATAAAGCAGGCATGCCTGCTGTCGCATCGACCGCAGGACTCCCGCCGAAAGTGCTGCACCAATGATCCAAGAGAGACTGAGCAGCGGATTCTTCTTCCCCACTTGGACTGCCGCTGCCAGCGGGTGAGCCGAGCGTACCCGTACCGTCGGTAGATCCACTGTGCTGCAGACGTTGCATAGCGGGGGAATGCGTGTAAGGAGGTGACAACGCGTATACTGCAGGCGAAGACATTGTGGGAGACAAGGTGTTCGGCGACGTCGTGCCCATCGTGAGAGCTTGGCGTGTAGATGGAGGTAGAGCAGAACGAGAAGTCGGCATGGAGAAGATTGTGGAGTGCTGTTCTCCAGTATGCCCATTTGTAGGTGAGCTTGCTCCATCCACACCATGCGACGCACTTTCTGCCATTTGTGATGCGCGGCTTTTAAGAAACTCGATAGTTTTGAGCTCCCTCCGAGTAGTTTCGTCCATCTCGCGCACGCCCTCATGGTCTGCCAGGAAGCCGTCCAAAATAGTGTGCATCATGTCCGCGTCCTTGCCTTTGGGGTGCAAGACTAGATAAATGCCACTGATCATCGCTGTTTGAAACTCTCTGTAGGCGTTGCTCAGAGAGTCGCGGGTTTCTTTTGGCATTGAGTCGCGGAAGGCCTTGCGAACTTGGAAATCCTTGATCGAAGACTCGAAGCACGCCTTTCGGGAACGCAGGTAACGATCGCAACTCAATTTCCGCAATAAATATGGACGATGGAGGCCGACGCGAACGAACAAGACCTCGGTAATGAGGAGAAAGCGGTGAACAGGAATGAATTTTTTTGTTTCGTCGAGGGATGTGTCGGGATCCAGCGAAAAGTGAGGTGGTAAGTTGGTAACGAATTTTAGAAGGTCATCATCCAGCGCCAAGACGTCAGAATAATGACTGGGTGACTTGACCTTCTGGAAATGATGTACCATCCGTCCAATAATGGAGGCCAGCTGATGCCTGAGAATAACAAAGGTCATCAGCGTAGGGCTTGAAAGGGGAGGTGGATTGCGAATGGCGGCAGGGGAAAAGTCATCATCGATGTTCAAAGGCGGGAGAGTGCAGGTGTAATCGTCCTGAATAGCATGAGGTCTTCCAAGCACAAGTGCGTAGGAACGATCGGCGTGATAAAGATATGACCTTCAGAATTCCCTAAGTTTAGACCTTGAGGAGATATTGGTATCCTTACCATATGCGGCGTCGATTTTCAACCTGAGCAGGGTCGAGTCCCTGTGCAAGCTAAATCAAAACAGGCATACTAATAGGATATTTACGAACTTACCGAAGGTGCAGCATCACGATGGAATCCAAGTGCTTGAGCTGTTCGTACAGCGGCACCCAACTGACTCCAACATTCCGTAATGCGACGATCAAAAGTCAAGAATCGTGCGCTCTAATGCTTATGTCAGAACTCCGCGCCGCGTAGATAACCTTCGACACTCACGAGTAAGCGAGTGAGAACGATATCCAGTGAATCTGGTTGGATAGCTGCGGCGATAAGCAGAGAGCGTCGAGCTATTCAGGAAACGGGTGGGTATAAAACACATTATACTCGATCAATGACGTACAAGACCAGTAATATCTCAAAGATGTCACTCTTCTTGTTCGCGCGTCGCCAGCAAGATGTTCAGGTGCCAATCGCACTGAAATAGCAAGCACCACGAACAACAACGGAAGGAAGCGTGCATCGTTAGTATTGGCGCCCACCCCGTTGACGCAAAGAGATGCGTAGGCAGTCCGAAAGTCAGCCTCGCAAACGGGATATCTCGTCCAATTGCTACAATCAAGGGGAAAAAATTATCAAGACTAGACAACAGATAGGGCATCAACTAACATTGCAGCAAAATAATGATCAATAAGTACATCGGAAAACCGTTGTGGAGGGAGCTCCTGAAGGAGCTCCGAAATTTTGTGCGGTGATACACCGCATTCTTGAACAAGACTCTTGAGGTTGTCAGCTGCTGAAGGTTCAGAATCTTGTCGCACAGACTCGATTATTGACGGGGTCGCTAAGGTTGATTTATGCTCGCCGTGACCAGTCCCGTGCTGGCCGGAAGGTCCAGCATTGACATTAGAAGTGGAATGATGCGAATCCCACTGTTCTTGAATCGAACTGGCAACAACGACGTTTGCCAGCTAGTGAAAAGGATGTCAGAAAATGGAACTAGCATGACCATCAAAACATTCACTTGCTCCAGAACGGAGGCGGGTGCTACACTTCCTGAGGCACTATTGCCAAACCATTTTCCACTGTGGAAGGTACCGCCACTTGGATCCTGCTCATCAGTTATCGAACGGCTATCGTCATCTGGACCGTCAGATGTAGAACTTTGGTGTCTGTCTGCAGCTGAATAGGAAGACTGAGACGGTGAATTGAAGTATTGGGGCAAAGCCTGCTCGATAATGTGCTCAAGCCTGGCTAAGCGGACGCTCAGATCTTGGTCTGTTTTTCCGGGAGTGTATGCTTTGCAAAGCTCTGGTACTTTTCGTGCTACACACTGGGAAGACTGTTAGACGGACAGGTAATAAACAACATGAAAGAGCCATACATGAGAGCACGGTATCTGCCGGTCGCACTGCCAGGGGGAATATTTTAACAGTGTAATTTGAATGATGAGAGTATGAACAAACCTTCTGCTTTCGACGATGACATTCACCGCAGGAGAAACTACGGACAAAGTGGTTCTGGGTCACTCTAAGCGCGCAAGGAAAAAATACAAACCTGACTCTAGATCTGGGTTTCTTGACCTGTATATGATCGCCATCATCCTCCTCAGTCTTCCTCCTCTTGAGACTAGAGGTTTCCGAAGCTGAAGTATTCTTGACCATGGATGATGGGAGCAGACGGTAATCTTGGAGATTGAATAGAAAGATGAAGAGAGTCAGATCGGTGACTCCGTCTCCGAGTCCGATCTGCACGTGCAGGTGGCACTGCTGGCAGTCAATATTCGTGCATCATGTGCGAGCGTTAGCTCTTAGCCCTGGTTACCATTGAGCGGCTCACTATAAGACGCATGCAGGCGCGACGGAGACTCTATCCGGATTGTTCATCAAAGGCTATCTCATATATAATCTAGTCTGTTTACCGCAATGTCCTCAACAACACTGATCGACTCGGACGTAGCGGTCATGATGGAACAACCATCCTGGAAGAAAACCAAACTCTCCTTGGAAAGACCCTACAAGGATGACAAAGGAGAGCGCATACCTGTCCTTCTAGACATAACTCCAGATGGAGTGCAAGTGTTTGAGCCGTATGTCACGAAACCGTCGCTATATTCTATCCCTAACCAAGCATCAGTCCACAAGATCCCATCAAACTCTTGGGTGAAAACCTGAGACGCATATTTATCGAGCGTGGCGTAGATTTTTTTGAGTGCCAAGATGCCCTGAGGGCCACAGGAGACTCGTCCATTCCTCAGGCCCTGGATACCAAGGACGACAAGGTCGAACCAGATCAGCAGGAGGAAGGCATCTCGAAAGCCCACATGAACCCAGAGGAGCTATTTAAAATGCGCATGGAAATCATGCCTCAACTATTGTATGTGATCCTCCAGGCGGCAACATCGGAAGTCTCATCCTCAAGCTAGTACCGCACTGGGAGAGATGACGCATGCCAGGGAGCTGCTTTCGTTGTTACTGACTTCCTCTACACCAATTGATCCGTCTCCTGTCCCTTCCTTACCTTCTTCTACATTGACTGCAAGTATTGTCACGAAGCCTCCGCCTATACCTTCAGTGGACGCGTTCAATGCCCAGTTGACTATTGGTGGAAAGGACGAGGCTCTGAGAAAAGCTTCAAGTATATTCAAGGCCGCCGCAAACAACCTGGAGAGAAGCCGCCTTCGAGGTCAAAGGTACTGGGTTGATGCACTCAAGATCCGGCGTGCCAATTGGGGATTGGTGCCTGCACCCCTCCCATTCGGTGCACCAACAGGCAAGGGCGCTGATAAAACGTCGAAGGACTTCTTTGTCTCTTTCGGACTCGAGGAATGTAAGCATTTGATTATGTTTACTGTCTTGAATTTAACATGCGTCCAGCCCCAGCTCACTTCAGACGAAGAGCGGTCGGACACATGGCAACATATGAAACTTCATCACATGTTCTTGTGTTTCCTCACCGTCAGCGAGTCCGCCTCCAAGTTTCTCTTATTCTCACCGATTCCAGCGGCCTCTTTCGCACTGCTTCCAACAGCATAACAAGCTTTTCGGATGCGTCATTGGAAGATTCACTTAAAATTGCGCAAAGGGAAATGGTCGAGGAAGAGCTTTTCTCTGTCTTGATTAAAGAGGCTAGCACTCTACCGACAGCCTCAGCACGAGTGGCCGAGCGGCTGATCGTCATTGACGCTGCCCAAGGAATGGAACTGAAGTTTGAACTCGTGAGTTATCAGTGCAGACCGAGATGTGACGTTTAACGTGTGTAGGTTGATGGTGATGCTGTCAATGCTCAAGAATCCAATAAGAGTGACGAACGTTTGTCCGCTACTTGTAATCTCATATACTTTGCACTGCAGGGACTTCTCTTGTCCCTGCATGCTTCGCAGAAATCCCAACGCCTATCATCAACCAACACACAACATCCACCCTCGGTATTTCCGAATAAGGCTCCTCTATTACAGCCCATCATCGATCTCCTTCAATATCAGGTATTCTGTGACAGAATCAAAGTAGAGCTAGGTAAAATGGTCTCTGCCTTACTTAAGGCCGGTATTCCGTCGTCGTTACGATTCGACACTGTAGGTGAGAGCGGGCACCAATTAGTGGAGCATTTTGTCGCCAATGAGACGGCAAGAAGGATTGGGGGTGAGGCTCTTCTCCGTATCGATGTCAGGCAAGTTGCGATCTGGAGCACATTCCTGAATATATATTTATGTTACTCACAACAGACAAACTCTTCGTTTGACATTCCTTTCGCCATCATCTCTTACAGCCCATTTGCCACAAGCAACGCTCCCGATTGCGTCCATCCCTCAGCTGGTGCAGCTTCTTTCGGACGAAGTGGAGAGGTGCCTTCTTAACCGGTTGTGCGAAGTGGGCTTACAGGTTTGTGAACGTGTCGGTGCAACGTGGTTCGTCGATTTCGTCAGTGGCAAGGCGGTCGGAAGATGGGAAGGAAACATATTGTGAGCACACCAATATTATTTTTACTCTTTCCAGCATGGACTAAGGAGATTTCCAGGAACTTTCGCGTCATATTCGACAAGGATTTTGCAATCCACTCGTCGGCATACCGTCTGAACAGAGCAAGTCACCAATTATCATTACTAGAAACATACACTCCTGAGACCTCAATTTCTCTTGAGGCATGGCTGCAAGAGCTACTTGAGAAGGCTATATTGGAATCTTAAAATGTTTTGGCCAATAATCGTGTTGCATGATATCATAAGCATATGACCTACTTGACTGGGTGGATGAAAATGTGAATGCAGAAAGTAATTGAGAAGACGAAATTTTTTACTCGTCGTCGTCGTCGTCCTCGGCAGCTGCAGCCTCGCCTCCTGAAGCCTTGAAGGCCTCGATCTTTGCCTGGATACGAGCTCTGCGTTCCTCCAGCGTGAGTTTGGACTTCTTGTACTTCAGGGTCTCTGCCTTCCAGTCCTTGGTCTTCTCCGTAGGTCGGAAGGTGGGGTCCTCACGAATGGCAGCATACGCGTTAGTGTAAATTTCCTCGATATCTTCTGAACCGATATCATCTGCGAGATACGAGGAAAATTGCTTCTTGAAGCTGAGCGAAAACTATAAATGGCATGCTTCATGTTCATACGGAATGGCTTACCGCTCGTCATCTTCCTCCTCGAGCGACTCCATGTACTCAGCAACGTGGCCACCAAATATGTACTTCTTGAGCACTTCACTATCGAGGCTCTTGCTCTCTGGGTCGTACCCAGGGAAACGCTTGTCGGAGTGGGGAATGAATATACCACCGTCACTTGCACCCTTCATTGCGCCGAAAACGCGGTGGCCAGTAGAAGTGCGTTTAAGACCAACATCAAGGTAGCACTTGAAGGGTCGTGGAGCATCTTCATCATCTAATGCCTCAGTCAACGTCAAGGAACCGTCAGGCTCCGCGACACCCTCGTATTTATCGGCAAGACCCAGCTTGGTCAACGCACGGCGAGCGCACAGAAGACCAGTTGCGTATGC